AGCTCTGAAATAACATGCTCTCGCCCACCTCCAGGGATCAAACCGGTGACGTTATTTTGGCCATATTTGATAAATGAACATAAGGCCAGTGAAGTATCCAAATCAGCAGTGGAAAATTAGCAGCAGCCTTGTTATAGTTGGTTGCGAGGTTCACGACATCATGAGGGAGCAGACAACGGCGTTCCCTGTCTTCACGGGACGCCGAGCACGAGAGGGTGGGTGCATTTGCTAATGAGCGGCATGTCGCCCCAACACTGCTGTCTCCTCACACGTGAAAGGGAATCGAGACCAGTGAAGACGCGTTGTTTTCTGTTAGTGTACTAGGGAATTGGATCAAGGACCATCGGCCGCACGCCTAACTATGCATTGTGCAGCAGGAAACAAGTCATTTCCAAGCCACCGAAATATTACTACATCAGTAAGCAACTTTCATTATAAAATTAAGAGAAAAGAGGACAACATCCGGGAAAATGTATGGAGTACACACGATTATGAGAAATAGAACTTGTCAGAAGAAGGGACTCGTTCAAACCAATAGCAACGGAATTAGCGAATCATAATTTTGATGTGAAATTTGAGGTTACTTTTTGCTGGAACATGGCGCCATGAAGTCTGGACGTACTGACGCTTCGAATGAACAAGTTGCCTTGATCGTCATCCCACAAGAGATGGTAGGACGCAGCAGTTCCTTTCGAAACGTCGGTAACGACCTACCAGGCTACTCGATTTCACATTCCAGAAGGCAGTAATCTTTATAATTGAGATGGTGATTGTTTTCTGAGATGTGACGCCGTGTAGCATGGAAGAAAGTTACCAACATTTCGAATTATTTTGTTGCCTCCATATACAGGGTAGAAGCGGCAGGAGGCGGCACATTCCTCCGAAACGTCGGTACTGATTCACCATGCTACATAACGTCTCATTCCAGAACGCAGTAATTATAATTTAGTGTCTTCCGGATGTGAGGTCGTGTAGTCTAATAGATATAAACGATTTGGACGACCGTTTAACATCCGCCTTCGGAGTGTACGGGACGCTAGCAGATTTCTCCGAAACGTCGGTGCAGATCCTCCAGGCTACATGACGTCACATTTCATATTGCAGTAATCATAATTTAGTGTGTTCTGGGATGTGAGCACGTATAGTCTGGTAGATAACGTTTTGGACGACAATTCAGAGCATAAGAGGCGGCAGTAGGTTCTTCCTAAGCGTTGATATGTTTCTGTCAGACTGCACGACGTCACGTCCGAGGAGGCAGTAGTGTTCATATTCAGCACGGTGAGAACCTCCAATCCCACAAGTATAATTTAGTTTTAGTGATAATACAGGCCAGTTGGAACGACAATGGCAAAACAAGGGTCTTCATAATTAGTACTTCTCACGTATTTCCAGGGCTGTATAATTAAGAGGCATGCAGTTGGGCGGAACGCGTAGTACGCATGGGGTGATGCGTACACGACTTTTGTCGGAAAGCACTGAGTAAAGACGTCGATTGGCGAATCTAGACCTAGACGGGTGGAATGATATTAAAGTAGATTTGAATGAAATTGAATTTGGGCGGGATTTGACTGGTTAGGATGCGGTCCAATAGAGGGAAATTTTGAACAACGGCAAGAACCTTGAAATTCCATTCGAACAATTACGAACTCTTGCATCGCTAAAATTGTTTAATTCCTGAGCTGTTTAACGATAAGGTTACGAACCTTCTGGTTTGCGATCCCGTATAGTCTGACAGTTAGTTACTAACGTTTTGGAGGAACATATTCCCTCTTTCTTCAGAGTGGAAAAGTCTACCACGAATATGGAAGCAGCAGGCTCCTCCGATATGTTAATTCATACCCACCTGACTACACGGTGCCACTTCACAGAAGACCGCAATTTAATACTCACTACCACAAAAACCCTAAATATCATTATATTCATCGCAACTCTTATTAAATTTTATTTAATTATATTTTTCATCGTCATGGGCTATGTAAGCTTGAACGATAGGGTGATTGAATGATGAATTTGTGAGGATATGGTGACTGATTGATGAATTTGTGAGGATATGGTGACTGATTGATGAATTTGTAAGGATATGGTGACTGATTGATGAATTTGTAAGGATGTGGAAGGAAGCGGTTGAGGCATGTTTCAGAGCATTATCTCATCAGTTTTCTGGACGGACTGAGGGAAATTCAGAGTGGTCCAGTCAGTATAACCGGTGTCTGACCTGATGGGGTTCTATGAGGTCTATGTAAGAAAGGCGAAGTTTACACTGTGCTTAATTAAGCCATACTCCCTGGAGTCATGGCTGAGTGGAGGCAGTAGCTGTACTCATTCTTAAACTTGTTAGAAGGAACTGAGTGGTAACCTTCATGCCTTGGGCGCTTTTCCTGAGAGGGAGTCCCCAGTATCAATTAGGTAGGAGGCGGGGTGGACCTCAGAGCCGGTCTGGGCACAGGAGCAGGTAATCTGGTGCCCCTTCCGGGAATCAAACTCCATTACATCGGTCGTCCACCCCTTAGCCTGGGCACTATACCTGCTGAGCTGTGCTGGCTCCTTGGAGTTAGTGTGTGCTTTAGAAATAATTGGTTGCATACTCTAGCGAGACAGCTGCAGTTTTATGGCAGTTAAAACAAATGGTATTGATTGGGGGCACGGTACCGGAAGTGTGTGTTACGCACGGAGACGTGAAATACGAGCGGATCGCGTGAACCGTGTGCCCCCTCTTGCCCCAATCACGTGCCCAACTCCCTAGTTTTTATTGACTCTCAGGGAGCAGGGGGAGGTAATTCCCAGTTGTGTGCTGAGGTAGCACAAATGGCCCCGAAAGAAGTTGTGTTTTGTATGAATTAACAAAGTTTAACCTTTAAAGTACAAAAAAAAAAAAATAAAACTGGTCTAAGAGGCTGCTTTAAAAATTGTTATTCATTGCCTGTAAGTGTTCACTGAACCGGATATGAGGAAATAACACGTTGCTTACATGTCTAGGTTGTGGTCTTCTGGTTATGACACTCTAGTCTGATAAGTGATTACCAGTGTTTCTTACGATCATGCCGTTTCCATCTTCAGGGTTTAAGGTGGATGCAGCAGGCTCCTTTAAAACATTGATACCTATATATGAAACTTCACACAGCATCACACCCCAGAAGGTCATAACCTTGATACTTCCCCTAATGAGAACCTCAGATTTGTAGTTCTAAACATATGTAGGAGTTGAGGTTTCGTGCTAATGTTTAATATTACAGTCTTATGGATTATGATGCTGTGTTGTCTGGTAAGTTCTGGTAGGAAAACCTAGAGGAAAGGCCACATAGAGCACCCGGGTGTAGATGGGGGATAATATTAAAATGGATGTTAGAAATAAGAAATGTGAGAATGTTGACTGGATTTATCTGACTTGGGATAGAGACCAGTGAGAGGCTGTTATGGAGACAATAATGAATTTTGGGGCTGTGCAGAATACTGGGAATTTCTTGATTAGTGAATGACTGTTAACTTTGTAAGAAGGCCATTGCTCAATTTACAACTGGTGACCAGTGTATGAAGATTTTAAATATTTGAAACAGCAGTATGAGATAGAGGTCTGTGCTATGTTGTACATGGCCTCCCAGTTTTTGCTATCTGATCACTGCTGTGTGATGTATCTGGGGGCCAGTACTCATTGGTTATGAGGCAAGGTTGGCTCTGGTGAAGATAATAATCATTTTATAACTAAGCTATTTTAGTTTGTGAAGATAGAAAGTTCTGTCCCTTCCTAGTATCAAAACCCAGTTGTTAGGCCCATTGTCATTTACTTCACTAGCTGAGCTCCAACTCAAAGATATGCTGAGGTAATTATTTTATTGCGATCTCATGTTTTGCCTTTAATAAAATTCGTGTAAGTATGTTATTCAGTCAGAGGAAGAAGAAATATTAAGATAATTGTCTCAGAATGGGGCCCATATGTATTGTATTTTTTGTTTTTGATTTAAGTTTCTAATTTTCCATAATTTTAGATACATTGCTTGCATGAATTTTCTTGCTTTTCACATAACATCATAACACCATACTGATGATGCCTTACTATTGAGGAAGTTGGCTCATATCGTAGTGTTTCTGACTTGTATTTGAGAGGTGCCTGAATCGAAGCTCATTGTGGACGGAATAACCTGATTGAGGCTTTCTGTGCCTTCCTCAGTTATTCCAGATAAATGTTGGGATAGTACCTCAAGTTGGATCATTTCCTTCCGCATCTTCTAAGATTCACTAATCCTATCATTTGATGATGCTTCCAAGGAATTTGATTTAGACTTGTGGTAGGTGCATGGTTTGAATCTCAGTCAAGTCATTGGCTATCCGGACTGACTTGAGGTTTTCTAAGGCTTTCCTCAGTCCCACCAGGCAAACTCCTAGATATTATTTATCTTAGGCCACAATTGCTTCCTTCGGAATCCTTTCCAATCCGATCATGCTTTTCACAGAACAATACACATTTCTTTCCCCAAACAGGGTAGGAAATGTACTGTGTAATGTAACATTAGAGGCAGAGGCACATTCAAATACTTCATCTGTGAAATTAATGAATGGATGGCCATATTCCACGTCCCAATGGCAACCCCAGTGTGCTCTCATAAGTGAAATAGGAGACAATGAGATATTCTCAAAAAATGCATTTGGGTCTATTTGCAAAGTGTCCATTATTTTTGTTCAGTTTTAGCCACATTTGAATTTTGACAACATATGTAGTAAAACTTCCAAGCATTAAATGAAAAAGAAAGTCATCCAGTGGGAGCAAAGTTATTTCATGCAAATGGACAGATGGATGCACATACGTACGCATGTAAGTACATACATACATGTGCCCACCTTCTGACAAAGCTAGCAGGTGCTTTTTACAGTTCTTGGGAACATGCTTAAATGGAGCTCTGGTGTCTGTGGGGTGGTGAAGTCTGGGAATTATGGTGTAAGAAGTGCATTCACTTGTATCAGGGAATGTTGTTTTTGTTCAGAAATGTAACTGGACTGTATTGCAGGTGTCGGGACGTGGATGTCTGTACAATGTGCGTGGTACAGCCTCCCCCACAAGGGGGCAGACAAGTCCTCTGCACAGCAATACGGACACTGCTGATGATAGTGACGATGAAGAGGAAGAAGAAGGTGTGGCAGAAATCTCGCAACAACTGGCTCACGATCTGGGACCCATTGAGCAGGAGAATATTGCCATCTCAGAACATCTTCAGGTAAGATTTTTGTTTGCATTGTGTGTGAGTTGTAAAGCCTTAAGGAAGAACATTGGTTGGATGATGTGGGCATAAATGCAAGGATAATATTAAAAGTTTTTTTTTTTTTACGAATAGGATGAGTGGTGTGAACTGGATTCGTTTGAGAGTAGGAACCATTGGTGGGCTCTTGTGAGCACAATAATGAACCTTCAGGTTACATAAAGTGCTAAACATTTCTTGATCAGCTTACCAGTTATTAGCTTCTCAAGAATGACTTTCATCCATAGAGTTAGTAGGTTTGTTAGTGTAAGGCGAAGATACCAGTATGTGTGTAAAAAATCCATGCACAAATCTGACCAAGTATAGTATTCTGGATTGATTGGATGTTACATAGTTGGAATTGTCATTGCCACATCTTGATGGACTTGCGCTGACATATGCAGGAAGGATGAAATGTGTTCTTGTTGTTTTATGCATGGATGTACGTGAGTATTGTTAAAAAAGTCAGGAATCTGATGAGTTCAAGTTTACCATTTTGAAGGGAGTCATCAAGGGAATACAGACAGGAATATTGCCTGGAATTGGTGTGAAATTAGTGTATAAGGCTTTTATTTTGAAGTTTTCATGATCTGAAAAATAATCCACTGAACTGTGTTCAGTAATTAAACACGGAGTTTTAAAAAATGCATAAGTTCAGTACTATTTCATTTTACCTTTCAACTCCTCTCCATTTATGGTTTTAGTTTAAGGTCTGTCTCTTCAGGTTAGTGACATTCTCGGTATAACATTTTCATTTTGTCATCTTTTTACTGTGTGGAACTTGAATTTGAAAGGTACAGATGAGAACACATTCAGCTGTAGGATCGTATGGATATTTTTACTCCATTGTTATTGAGATTTCATACAAAACAGCGGGTCTTCTTCACACTGTTGGTAGTATGATGTTTTGTCATCTTGTGTTGTTAGGTTATCAACCAGGAAGATCTTGCAGCAATCCTGCCAGATGTGGTGACAACTGGTAACCATGACGATGGTGGGGCTCCATTTGATGGGTTTGAAGATGTGAGTTCTGAGAGTGGAAAAGTTGCTGCTGATGGAAGTGGTAGTGGCCAACAGCAGCAGCCACTGCCGTCACAGCAACAGCAGAGTGGGAGCCAGCGGGCAACAGAGTCTGGCAGTGATGTTGAGTTACCTGAGCAGGTGGTGAGTGAGGCCATTAAGAGGATCCACATAGACAGCGAAGAAGTGGCACAGGAGGCGGAGGAGGCAGACGCAAGCAGCAGTGGGGAGAGTGGTGAGGAGGAGGCGGGGGGAAGTGGTGGTGGGCCAGGGTCTGGCTACTCATCGACTCTTTTGCAACAATTTGTGGTGAAGACAGAAATCCTCTCATCATCATCATCAGTAGTGAGGGAAGAACCTCGTAGAAGAAAGCGGGGCAGGCCCCCCAAGCTTGCTGTCAGGTTAGAATCTGCGGCAGAGAGTTCTCGTTCAGGTGGTGTAGGGAAGTGCATGCCAGAGCTTGAATCTTACATGAGGTTGGATTGTTCTGTGTCAAACGTGTCTCCAGACAGTGGAATTCAGTCTGTTGCTGGTTCTCCCATTCATCAGTCCTGCTCTCCGGCATCAAACCCCACAGCTCATTCACCGGCACCTGCTCTAACGGCAAGTCCTCGTAGTACTCCACCTCCACCAATACTTTTGCTTGGAGAGGATCGGCGAGGTAGCATGGCAAGGAGAGGTCCTGGTCGCCCACCCCGATCCCGTGGACCTGGCCAACCAAAGGGACCAGGGAAGAAGATGAATAATGAAAGGAAAGGGGAGACCACATCAAGGGGGGAAGTGGGGTGCGGGGATTGTGGCAGTAGAGTTCTAGTAAGTGGGACGGACAGTTGTGATGAAAACCCACCTGCACCATCTCCAGTTCCAGCGGTGCCTGTTAAGCGAGGACCTGGGAGACCAAAGAAAGCTCCACCTGTGCTGGAACCCAATTTGCCGTTGCCAGCCTGTGAACACATCAGCAAGGATGATGAGGGCAAAACTCATGGGAACAAGAAACCTGGTGCCAGTGCTAGGGCTAGTGATCAGCAGGCAGAGAGTGATGTGAAACATCCAGTTGTTGAACTTCTGAGTGAAGAACTGGGCATGAAGGAGCACAGGAGCAGTGCAATTTTAAGTGACATATGTGACAGAGTAAGTAAGCGTCTGGAGGCTCCCAATCCTGTGACAGACCGTAGGTTCCAGTCACAGTCCCCAAAGGTGAGAATGGGGGCACAGCGGAAGTCGGAAGCGTCTCCTCAGGCCAAGTTAGGAGCATGGGTGGAGAAAAGAAGGAAAGGGAGGAGAAGAAATGAGTCTGGGGACTGGGGGGAAGTGGAGTCAGGAGCAGAAAATGAACATGGCCCTCAGTTTCAGTTTCCTAGACAGCGACGACTCTCGAGCTCAGCTGGATCACCTTGTAGTTTGAGCCATCAGGGAAGTATTCGGAACATCTCAGCACCAAAGGCTTTAGCTACCAGAATGCTTAGATTTCCTTCAGGCATGCCTCATCATAAACATAAAAGAAGGAAGAAAAAAGTGAAGTGCTTAAGGACAGAGAAAGTGCTGTCAGATCCAAATTTCTTGCTGGACTTGGAAAAACTGGCTCAAGACTTTAAACGTTGTTGCATTATTGCTAGGACTAATGCCAGCCCTGCCTCAACCCCTCGATCTGGATCTGGGGATGCCAACTTGCCCTCAATCTTCAGGATGAAGAGGATAATTAAGAAGAGAAAGGGTAGCGAGAAATCTCAGCGAGCTAGTGACAGAGAATCTGGGACAGAGGGTGATGGTGGCAAGGAGAAGAACCGACAGCGACGGCCAAAGAAAAGCACAGTGGAGTCTCCTAAGGTAAGAAGAGTGTGAGGTTATACATTCCAAATGTGGTCTGTTGTCTCCCTTCATTGGTTGGTTACAAACAGTGGGCATGAGATATTTCAGGCTTCCCTCATGGTCACTTCCGTGTTACCTCAATGTGTATAATACCTGTCAGATACAACTATAACCTCACTTCTTGATGCCTTCAGAAGTAGACATCAGATATTTTGTTGTCAGTAATTGTATTGCACATGTTTTCTGTTTTCAGCTTTGAAATTCTCCAACCCATGCTTATTTTCATTGACTTGTGTTTTTTCTCTTTCTCCCTCCTTTTTATATTCAGAATTTTAATTTGTTGTATGTGCATACACACATGCATTTTGTGTTATTGGAGGCAAATGGGGGATGGTTGCTGTTAGAGCTGACATGAATAGAAAAAGGGAAATTTTGGAAGGCACCCTTTACAGTATTAATAAGAAGCCTTACATGGAGTTTGTTTCTGTCCATCTGTCTGTAATTTTGTAAATGCGCAAAACATTATAGACACATTATTTCATAATGTGACATTGGAGAATTTCACTAAATGTTGAGCTGTTCTATATTTTGGCCGTACATGTCCATAACATTGCATAAAGTCATGAATTTTCAGCATGTACTGTAAACTGTTAATCCTATTTTCTGTGATATCTCTCTTTGTGAGAGATGCACGCATAGCATCAGTTGAGTGTTTTATTTTGAGTCATACTGACCGATTGTAATGCCTACATAAGATCATTAAAGTTTTCTCTGTCTCTCTCTCTCTTTTTTTTTTCATATCATAACTATTATGTAGGTTTTTGTGAAATTCTGTGTGAAAGATGTTTGCATAACATGGGATTTTCATACTGATTTATAGCAGTTTACATTGTTCCAGAGCCTACCATACATATTGCATTAGTGGAATTTTTGATAGGGCCTGTAAACTGTTTCCATTTCTTGTTGTAATTCAGTATGAGAAATCTGTGAATTACATTGGGCACACAGTTCGATTATTAGCTGTTTGGCAAGTTACAAAGCCTACTTTATAAGTGGACTTTCCATTGTATCCCATAAACCATTTTCAGATTTTGTTGCAATTTGATACGAAAGTCCACATACATGATAGTGGCTGACCATGTCGATTTTTGGCAGTTTACTGTTTACAAAATGTACTTTACATAAGGCCATACTTTGCTGTAATTCAGTGCTGTGCATGCTGTTGAAATACAACTTTACTCTTTATATATATTTTGTTGAAATGCTATTCATAAACTGATCAATACAAAATTGCAAAGAATGTCTTGAAATTATTCTCTTTCTGATCATATTTTAACGTGTTTTGCCACTAAATACACCGTTCGGATTGTTAATTGGTATATTTAACAACCTACAAGTTGTACAGTACAATGTGGGAGCTATACCAGTGTCACTGTATTACACACTCCCAATACCTTCTCACACTATCATTTCTATTCACACGTTCCGGTATTCTTCTTTCCGCTACAACTGAACTCAGCGACTGTTCCAATTCCACTGTCTCCAGCGGCTGCTCGATCTGCACTGTGTCATTCCTGCTCACACACTACTAATCACTCCTGATCACAAAAAACTGTCTCACATACTGCTCAGCCGGCTTTTTATACCGTTCGCTGTTGCCTGTTGCCCGTGTCAACAGTGGCGTCGCGTGCCACGTCACAGTAGGAAGCTCTGCCACGCCACAGCAGGGGGGGGGGGGCGGAGGGCGGGCTCACCTGCGACACCANATATTCCCAGAAGACAGAGTCATATAGTAAGTTTCAGAAATCTAGGGATAAGATTATAAAAGGCATTCATGTGCAGAATTTCTCATGTGGAAATCTAGTATCCATGATTAAATGCAAGAGGCAGCTTTGACAGATTTTTCTTCACCTATATCCTTGGTTTTATGGTGCATTAAAACAATATTAATTCATTTCCTTTATTTTCCATATATCCATACAGGTAAAAAATCTAGGGTGTGGAAATAGGAAATAGTAGTCCCTTTGATAATAGATGTGTCCAGATACATATAATAAATTACATAGTTATATAATTAAACTCACATACATTAGTCAATTAACATAGATAATAGAAAAAACTTATTACAGTTATAATTAATAAACATAATTTAAAAAGAAAATTACTATAAAAACTTAAAATTAATACAACTTAATTCACATTACCCAAATTAACTGAATTAAATGCATTATAAATTTACACACTTATGACCAATTATCTTTCCTTCTTTCTTTCTTTATGCACAGCAGACTTGTAGTTTACTGGCTGTGTGACTCTTTAAATGCAAGAAACTTCATTTCGCACCTTGTCATTTTCAAAAGCTTGCACTTCAGTTTAGTACTTGGTGACCATTAGACACTGAAGTGCTAGGAATAATGGTCTTAAAATTTTCAAAGAATTAAAGAGAATTAAATTTTTTTTTACTTTCATGATTATTACTGGCAGGTAGAGAAACACATTTGGCTGCACTGAGGACAGTTCCACAAGTAACACTTAGAAACCGCTCTAGATGCTCAGATAGTACCAGCTTGCATGAGACAGAGCCCACCTGTATATGTCACTTCCTACCAGATCAGGCATGACAGCACAGGTGGAACCAAACAACTGCTTCAGGTGGCACAGTTTAGGAACAACACAATTAACATATCTCTTCTCTTTCCTCAGCTTAATATGTTCATGTTATGACCAGTAATTTGTAGTAATCTAGACATGCTCTGCAGCAATGTAAATAAAATTGAAGAAATGATAATTCCCATTAGAGCGTCTGAGAATTTTGTTGTTGGGCCAGCTTCACTGCCAGTGAAAAATTCTACCTGGTTGTTCGCGTCTCTGACATTATTTAAGTCATACGTGTCCTCTGGGTAGTGTGAAATGAGCAACAAACCTGACAAAGCTTCCCAAAGGAAAAGTGCAAACTTCTTCAAGATGCGACAAAGCAAGAACTTGAGTGCTCTCTGTTGGGAAGCAAGAAGCAAAATGGGTTAAATGATCCCAGATGCAGCCATTGGAAACCAAGCAACCAACCAATATTCAATCCTTGATAGTAGTGCCAAAGAATTGGTACTAAGTGCAGACTGCTGCTCCTTGTTGCCTGTGACAGCATTTAGGATGTTCCATCCCTGTTTTTAGCATTAGACATACAGTGATTGCATGCAGTAACATGTTGATCTACTAGTTGACATGTGTAGAATTATGTATGATTTGAGGTTCACGCAGTGGTCATTACAAATAGTTCCATCTTCTGGTATATAACCCTGTGTAATCCATTGAAAGTCATCTCATACTTTTGAGGAACATGTCACCTCCATCTTCAGAGGCAAAAATGAGCCTGCTACCTGCTTCATACCAATTTCTTGCTGGTCTTATTCTTCAACCCTGGATATGGGGACGACATGTTCCTCCAAATCATCGGTTGACTTTCAGTAGGCTACAAGACGTTATATCCCAGAAGACACAACTCTTCCTATGTACAGCTACTTATGTATTTTTTAATTCTGCCATTTTACTTTGGAACCTTTTACCAATTATTCCAGCACCGCTATTCCTAACCCAGCAGCTAACATGTGAATAACCATATCCTAATTTATGGTGTAACCCTCTGAATAGTGGGTTCTTTTGTTCCAGCAGAACTGTTAGAATGTTTTTTTTTATCATATGAGTACAGTCTCTTGGCACATTAGTGTTCATGTATGCATCATTTGAGTGAAACATTGTAATACGACAGAGACTGTCAGAAACACCCACGCTGAATGGTAGCCCTCAGAAATACCAGGAAACATGTACTGTGCAGACATCATACTTAAATGTACTAACGTGGCTGTCAGCACAACAATCTGTGAATAAATAAAACTAATACTGTGTTAATTTTGTTTTTATTATACATACCACTATGTGTTTTGATCAGAGTGATCATCTTCAGGTGGTTTATAGGAATATATACCGGCATTATTGAATTGTTTGACTAACATTCATCCATATTAGTAAATAAAATAAAAGAATTCTGTCAAATTTTAGGGTCTGTACCAGAGGTTTCTGTGTAGACAGCCACATTAGTATCCATAATAAAACACAGCAGGATACAAAGAGTAAAGATTATTATCCTTTCTGTCATGCATGCATCATACCAGTACAGTTGCACTCAGCAGAGTTTTGAAGTGCTTGATATATTACAAGTTGAGCACTGGAGATTTCTGAAGATTCCTTGTGTGATTTCAGAGAATATACAGTGCAGTTTATTCTGTTCCAAACTGCCTAAGTATCTTTCTTGATAGCAGTTAACCTCACATTACTGCAGTTATGTGCATACTAGTTTGTGTCCTCCAACAGGGACAAGAGAGGGTTGAGACAAACAATGAGCAGAGACTGCCTTTGAAGAAACGCCACTACCATATCTCAACTGCAGCCGTGAGTCTTCAGCCAACCAACTGTCTGCCACAAGCTGACGCGTTGGTCACAGCAGTAGACTGCACCAAAAAGGCCCTCGAGCGCACCACCACCCAGGAGAAAGACAAGCTTCCCGTCACAGCCAGTGTTGGAGTTGGTGGTAAAAGCCAAGGAAGACCCACAGCTGACAAGCCAGTCATTGTGAGGGATAAGAGTGGTTGTGGGAGTGGTGTGTGCTGCACGGGCTTAGTAAACAGTGGTGAAGTGAAGTCAAAACCTGTTGTAGACGTGCCAAGAAATTCAATAGACGAAGCCATTGAAGCTTGCATCACTCGGTACACAGCAACTTCCCCCCCAGTTGAGAATTCTACTCCATCAGTTCACTCCGTGATAGCAACGCCAAAGAAGCGGCATCGATTGGAAACTGCAGCTGCTGTTGCAGGTATGATGGGTAAGAGCCCATGTACATCTGTGAACAAAAGCAAAGAGAGTGCCACTGAGGGTGCCACTATAAACAGCAGCAAATTATCTGGTGTTGCAGTTAGCACTCCACCCCCAAGTAAACGAACTGTGTCCAGAAGTGCAAGTGCGAACTCTGGAAATGTGACTGTTTCAAGTGATTCCAGTGTAACTCCTGACACAATAAAAACTTCCATGGTTTTAGACTCTAGTGTTGGTGGATCATCTGAAGCAACTGTAGACTCTGCAATAAATGTGTCTCCAACACAGAAAGTTTCATCATCTGTGGGCAAAGTGACTTCCTCTTGTAAGGTGTCTCCAGCAGCAAACAAGATGGCATCACAGACAAATAAAGCCACATCCCCTGCAAGCAGAACTTCTGTGTCTTTGAGTAAAAGTTCAGGTCTAGTGAGTAAGCCATGTACAGTGATGGCCACTAAAGTGTCCTCACATACCAAGGTTACTGCGGCTAGTAGTAAGGTCTCTTCATCTCCTGTTAAACAGACTTCTCCTGTCAGTAAACTGTCCATGTCTTCTCCAAGTAAAGTTACTGCATCTCAGCCCTCATCTGCTACCAAAGTATCGAGTACATCAGGCAGTAAGGCTGTTTCACCATCAAGTAAAGTCACTTCATCACTGAGTAAATCATTAGTACCTGCAGGTAAAGCAGCTTCGCCAAAAGCCTTTGCAGTTTCTTCAAAAGTGAACTCATTTCCTTCTACCGTTGTGACAGTGTCTGCTTCTACTGTCACCACCACAACTACTACTGCTGCCACAGTGGCTGCCACTGCTGTAGTGACAACTGCCACCACAAGTATAGCAACAGTGTCAACATCAGCAGTGGATGAAATGATGTTGTCAAGTAGGTTAGCTGTAATACCCATGCCACACAATCTGAGATTGAAACGTGTGAATGTAACATCAGAAAGGGATGAGTCGCATTTGAAACGTGGTGGTATAGGAAAGAAGAAGAAACTCATTCGTGATATCCGTGTACATGTGACAAAACTTTCCCCCACAGACTTTCTATTAAAGAAAGCTGTTGGTACAGTGAAGCAGCGTGTGCGTCGAAGGAAAGCCATAAATCGTACAGGGTTCCCAATCAAAAAGAAGAAGAAGAAGCAGTGTGTTAGTGGTGATGTGAAGCCACTGAAGTGTCCAAACAGTGCCCCTGTTCCTACCCCTCTCTCTGCACCTGTGATAAATATAGATATTAAGAAATCCCCTGCATATAATAGCACGACAAAGACTCTACCACAGAACATGGGGGTTAAAGAAATTCTAAATCGTGCTGAGACTAAACGAACCCACGGTTTATGTAAGAAGGATAGGAGCAGTCGAATCTCAGAATCATGTCCTAAAGACAGAAAAATGGAGAAAGAAGATGGGGTGAAAGGGGAACTTGAAAAGAAGCCGCTAGAAGCAGTGAGAAAAACAGTCAATGGTAAACGTGATGCACTCCATTTACCTCATGAAGATATTTCTCTTAAAGAGAAGAAAGAACATTCGGAGACAAAATTGGGAGAGGATGGGGATGCTATTCCAAACAAACCTGAAGACAGTATAGAAATGGTGGGGGGAGATGCCCAGTGTTCAGAAACCAAAGAGTCTCAGTTAAGTTCGAAACAGAACAAAGGATCCATGGTGGACAGTGGCCACACCTGCTCAAAGTTGACTGAATTGTGCAGCCTTACAGTCCCTGAAGCAGATCCAGGGGTGCCAGTTGCAAGTGGCCACACCCCTGATGCAGGGGATAAAGATTGTAGGGTTCGAAACAAGAGGAAGCGTGATAGCTCAAAGGATGACTGTCCCTTGCCACTCGGCTCGAAACGAATGAGGAGGTATCGAGATGACGACATGGATCAGGATGACAGGTGAGTGACGAGGTTGAAGTTCTGTTTCTTGTTTTTGCTTCATTATTTTTGTTTTATTGTTTTTTAGGTTGGGAGCAGTGGACGATATTTTGAAGTTTAAAATGACTGTTCATGTGATTGATATGTGAAATTTGAAGTTCTTGCAGTGGTAAATACAAAGATTACTGCTTTCTTGGATTGACTCCGTGTAGTGCGGTAGAAAGTTAACAGTGTCTTTCACCTTGTTTTCCCCTCAGGTGTTTCACTTTGCTTTAGAGGCTGCTGTCTCCCATTGACTCGCTATCAGTCCCATTTCTTCTCTTTCTCTCCATATATCTGTACCATCATTTTCTAGCATGGCTTTATCTTCTACCTAGAAGATGAAAGCCACAGGTTCTCCTGAAACATTGATTTTCTTCGAGGCTATGCAGCATCATATCCTGGAAGACAGTAATCTTCATGTGCTTAATGGTTAATACATAGGTATCACACTCATCCTTGAATGAGGTTTGAAGTCACATAGCTTCACCTTTGTTGTTTTGTTTACAGCTGTGATGTACTGCCGTTTGAGGTGTTACCATGTAGTGACGTGCCATCTGGGGATGAATCAACAAAATCTTGTCGTCGCAAGAAACAGCCTCGTTGGAGAAAAAAGTTCTTGGCTGCTGGGCTCTTCTCTGACTACTACAAGGAGGATGAGTATGTTTAAATTAGAAACCAGATGTGTTTTGAAGTGCCCTGTACAAAAATTATGCATAAAACAAGTCCTGTAGGTATTATTTAGTGTTTGAAGTGGTGTGAAGTATAACACTTCAAATAGCTTAGGGTCAGGTTCCAGTTCACTGCCAGTTGAATATGAATATGTAAGCATATATTAACTGGAAAGTAATTTCCCATGCCAGTTGCCGCTTAAAATTTTGTATTTACGTTCATTTAGTCCTGCTTGTTTAATTCACTGTGTTCCATGACTGTAAGAGTAATTTGTATGTAATTTATTCTTAAACTTCGGTTTCTGTCTGTTTTCTCTGATAATGAATTTCGTTTATTAAAAAGGACTCTAAGATGGTGATCCAGCAACTTAACACATTGCGCACCGGTTGTTTTTCGTTAGGGTGTGACAGGAAATGAGCGTGATCATGTTACTGGCTGAGCTAGCAAACATTCCCAAGGTCAACTACGCAGTAGTTATGATGCAACGTGGCCACACAGCGAGATATAGTCGGGCTGCAATGTAACGCGTCAGAAAAGGGCCAATTGGCCCCTCCGGTCCTGAATGTGTTAATAATGTTTCTAGTCTTCTTTGATTTTGTATGGGTCAGTGGATGCAATATCGTCAATCTTTCCTTGCTACCCACAGTCGTTCCTTTTCATTTTCTTTACAGTCCTTTCCTCTCTTCTTGAAGTCTTCTAGTTCCTGCTTGAGCCATCTTGTTTTATCATCTCACGGCTCTCTTTCTTTTAAGTTTTATGTCCAGTTTTCATTGTTCTAGCCAGTCTCCTTATATTGCCAAACCATTGTAAACTTTTCTTTTTTGAAAAGAGCTTCACAATATTGCCACGTGTACGAGTGACTGTAAATGTGATTTGGATGATTGACTGGATTTATTGAACACTTATACACACAACTCATTACTGCAAATAATTTTAGCACCATTGTTAATCTCCACGCTTTATAAATCACTAGAGCACTAAGTCTTTCAGTCTGCTTTTACTAGTCATTTCCTGGTAATGGGTCTTAACAATGGAGATTCTTCAATTTCCATGCTCTCAGCCCATAGAAAACACCATTCCTCTGTTGCTCTTCAGTTGTTGCTTATTAAGAATCTTTTGCCTAGCAACAGCGTTGTTCTGTTGTTTGTGTTGCAGGTATTACCTAGCAATGGGTCTCTGCTTGCTACAGTATGAGGTCAGAAATGTTATATGGTTGAGATTTTGAGAATCTAAGGCCACTGCCCATGAAGATTGCTGCCTTTTTGAGATGTGATAGTAGTAGTCCTTTTTAACAACATTTCAGACGAATCTCTCGCCTCCATTTTCTGGGAAAAAAAAGAGCTTCATGGGATAGAACCATCCATGATACGCTATCGGAAAGTTCCCGGACTAGGTCAAAAGAGAAAAGCTGGCTTAACTTACACATTTTTGGCTGCCATCTCCTTCAAAATAATCTCCTTGGGAACATATGCAGCGATCCCATCTTCTTTTCCACGAATCAAAAGCGCCGTGGAAGTCATTTTCCTTAAAGCTGTCGAGTACCACTTGCAATTCCTTTTGCGTGTCAGACAGCGATTCAAAATATCGTCCCTTCAATAAATTTGATTTGTTTCATTCTGGTCCGTCACACTAACAATTACAAATATAAATCACTCCGTCCAATGTGACCTGTAAGTTTATTACTACATGAAAAACTTAACACCCTTACACGTTTCGGTCTCTGCGGACCATCTTCAGAGGGCAAACATCACTACAAATAGGAAACCACCTTCACATAAGTTGTTTAGACGTAAAGTACGTACACTTATATGTTACAATGCATAGTACACAAAATAGAACATTTCACAAACACAGCAGTTTCCTGGGAATGTGAAAATAGCACAGCAGCCACGAGCAAACCCTGGACGATATAAAGAACCTCCACATCAAGATAGCCAGGTGGCACAATATCTGCCCCATACAAGAGGGGCGATGGGAGGACGAACACGAGCCTGCATGGTTTACGAATTGTAATTATTGACAATGCAAAAAAAAAAATTTTTTTTTAATTAGCATCAAGAAATTTAAAATAATTTTTAAAAAACTTTACATTCCCAGGAAACTGCTGTGTTTGTGAAATGTTCTATTTTGTGTATTATGCATTGTAACATATAAGTGTACGTACTTTACGTCTAAACAACTTATGTGAAGGTGGTTTCCTATTTGTAGTGATGTTTGCCCTCTGAAGATGGTCCGCAGAGACCGAAACGTGTAAGGGTGTTAAGTTTTTCATGTAGTAATAAACTTACAGGTCACATTGGACGGAGTGATTTATATTTGTAATCGTCCCTTCAGTTTCATTTTCAATTAGGAAAACAAAGTGAAATCACAGGGGGCTAAGTCTGGCGAGTAGGGAAGATGGGGATTAATAACCGTGTTGTTAGTCAGATTCTGTGGTTTTCAGGGATGTGTGGGCAGTTGTGTTGTCATGATGAAGGAATCAGTTGTGCTAAAGTTGGCCTTTTTCATCACAGTTTTCTCTCAGGCATCTCAAAACATCACATTAAAAATCAAGAGTTGACGTGGTGTAGGAGGGGCAAATTTACACTGAACAATCCCCTTCACATTGAAAAAACAAAGAGCATGCTCTTTGTTGAACTCCAGACCTGCTATGCCTTCTTTGCTCTTGGTGATTATGAGCTCTTCCACTGCAGCAAGTGTTGCTTTGTTTCTGGATCATAACTGTAAATCCAGCTTTTGTCATCCCTTATGATCCTAGAGATAATAGTTGTGTCCTCGTTGGCTCTCTCTCATAGCTCGAGACACGTTTATGCACCGCACCGCTGCTTTTGCTTATCTGTCTGGCATACTCCATAACTCAGCCCAGTGGCGTCTGTGACCTTATCGATTGTTTGGCAATGGTCTTCATGAATGAGTTATCTGATTTTTTCAACTTTTTCTGTAATTTTGCTGGTGCTTGGTCACCCTGAACATTCGTCATCTTCAGCTGACACTTGACCAGCCTTGAAACGTGAATGCCTTTCAAAAACTACTGTGTGGTTTAATGAATGTTCTTCAAAAGCCTCATGAAGCCTTTCAAGGATTTCAATAGTGGATTTACTGAGCTTCACACAAAACTTGATGCAGACACATCGCTTGATTTTTCCATCCATTGCAGAAAAAACGAAACATGAAATCGAAAGAGCACTCGTGTAAAAACAGCCTTGTGTGACTTGGCATACTGTTGTGATAGACTTGGGGAATTGTGACCCTGGCCTCCCATTTCATGTTCTTTCACTGAGGCAGTTACAACAGTAGCAGTCTGAGAACTTTCTGATACACCTCCTACAGGTAAGGGAAGACAGGAACTTGGGCTGAGAGCATACCAAAGGGAGCAGTGTGAACCTGTGGCCCTGAAAGGGGCCACATTTATAGATAGGAAATATGAGAAATAGGAAGAGCTTGTTCCTGTCTACAAGTGCAGCCCTTTTCAGAGTCACAGGATCCCATTCAGTTTACACTGGTCCCAGTTGTCTATTTCCCTTGCTTTCCTTTCATTATATCACTGGCTTCTTTTCCCACTTGACTTACTCTTCTGCCATGATGATGGAAACAGCAGGTTTCTCTGAAATGTTGGAAATGTCTTCCAGACTGCATTGTGTCACATCAAGGAAGGCAGCTATCCTTATACACACCTGTAAGCTGCATTCAGAAAGTAACTTCGCAAGGAAGAATGTTGATGCATGGACTTTATTGAGTAGACATGTAGAAGAAAGTTTGGTTTATGTTGCATATATGGTGCATAATGAACAGAAAGGCAATTTATAACACATCTTGACATCAGGCCTAGGAAACCAAACAATGATGTGGGGAAACCAAGACTGGTGTACCGGCCAGAGGAGCACCAGCATGGGCTGCTGCCTCCTCCCTACCACTGTGGCAAGTACCTGCGCCAGCGACGCGTGGAATTCAAGCTGCCATTTGACTTATGGTGGCTGCACACTCACAACCAGCTGCCAGGTCGAGACAGAGTGCCTTCGTGGAACTACAAGAAGATCCGTACCAGTAAGTATCATCATATCAAAATTTAATTCCTTCAGAGTAGTGCCAAATGGAGTGATTCCTGGCTGTGTTATGAGGATTCAAGAAATTAAGTTTTTAAGAAAGAGACAGCACCTTCTCTTCTATTGGCACAGCATTGCATGAAACCAAATGCATGCAGTTAGCCTGAAACTAGTCGTGCTTGATGTTGCATATCAAATTGACCAACTGAATAATTAGTAACAAACTCATAATACAAAAACCACCTCAGTATATATTCTGACTTCACTGTTACTGTGTGACTGCACATCTGAAGTTACTAAGAAACTTGCTCATCCAATTACACCCAACTGTGATTGCAAACTGAAGTTTCAGTTATATCTGTAGGAGACTTATAAAAAGTGCTGGGACAGTTGGCATTTTGCATACACCCATTTGTATGCAGTCACACTAGTAGGAGAGCTGCCTAACACTACAATTTACAGCCACACAATCTAAGTTGGTACTGTCTTCTGGTATGTGATGATATGTACTCTAGTAGAAAGCTTACTGATGGTTAAGAGGAACATGCTGCATCCATTTTCAGGGTTGAAGATTAAGATGTGTGGGAAAGTGGTGGTACATATGTAGGGATAGGAGGAGAGGAAACATGGCTGCGGTAGATGGTGACCTCTGAATGGATAGGGGCAAACATTTGATGGAAAGGAAAGCGAGAAAGAATGTTTTGAGGAGAAAATATTTTTCTTGTCTCATTTCCCCCATGGAGCTGCCATCTCAAATTTGGTCTCCTGGCAGCTCTGTTTCTTTTCCTCCTTTCTCTGTATGTGTACCCTGATTTTTCTGCATTGCTTACTTTACCATTCCAGAGATTGAGGCTGTAGGATCCTCCTAAATGTTGGTACCTTTCTGGTAGATTCAAAGAAGACATGCACATGAACTACATTTATGATTAAAAAATCGCACTGTTTTGTGCAGATGTGTATTATGATGTGAAGCCAACATATACGTATGAGGCACAGGCTTGCAACTGTGTGCTGCCTTCAACGCCAGGCCATAAAGGATGCGGAGAGGATTGCATAAATCGTATGGTGTATTCAGAGTGCTCACCCCAGCTCTGCCCATGCAAGGAGCTATGCTCAAACCAGAGGATACAGCGCCACGAGTGGGCCCCAGGGCTGGAGAAATTTATGACCAAAGACAAGGTAGACCCACTTGTGTTTCATGGAGATTGTATGAGAAGTCCTCTAATTATTATCCCATAATTTTAGGCAAGTTTCATCTTACCTTGCTACATCACATATGTGAAACTGAAGTCTGTCGTAAAATGCAGTGATTTCAGTAGTACATGATATACCAAAGGATGTTCTCTCAGCTTTGACAGTTCTAAGCCTGGAGACCTAATCTCTGGTGTGTTTTACCGCATTTACATGGCTCCAAAGCGATATTTTCTTTCTTCTATTAACATGATAAGACATTTTGTTCCCCTTGGATCAGTGCTTTGAAGTTGTAAAGAAAAAGAAAGTAACAGGAGGACGATGATTAATGGAACCTGAAGGTCCATGTACTATGTCAGCAAGGACCCAGGTTATGAACCTTCAGGTTTCATGAGAGACAGGAGATTGCTTGACTAAATGTGTGACTGTTATTCAAGAACTCAGCAGTATGTAGGTAGTAGTAACTTGTGGGAGAACATTTTTCAGTCCAAGGTGAGATAAAAATTTGTAAAAGTTTTGAGAATTGAGATAAGAATGAAAATTTTCTCTACTTGGCCATTATATTCACTGTAACTACAGTTTATTATGCAAGCACTTTTTTATAATGCACTGAAATGTGCTACATATCTCTTTTGGTACCTTTTTCAGTGAAGAGCTTTTGTAAGTCATACTTCTGTGTTGTAGGGCTGGGGAGTGAAAACGAAGTATGCCATTAAGCCTGGAGAGTTCATCCTTGAATATGTAGGAGAAGTGGTGAGTGAGAAGGAGTTTAAAGCACGGATGGCAACCCGCTACATCCATGACACACATCATTACTGCCTTAACCTTGATGGTGGCTTGGTGATAGATGGGCATCGCATGGGAGGAGATGGTGAGTAGCATATGTATATACACACAACAAAATCTTGGTTATCTGCAACAGTGAAAGTGAGAAGTAGCATGGATAATTAAAAACAGTGGATAATCAAAAAGATCTGGAAGGATCAGCTATTCATGGTCCCGACCACTAAAAATAGTGAGACAGGTGTACAAGTCTACTACAAATTGTAAGCATTACCCCTACATATGACGGTAACAGACATAGTAGACAACCCTTATGTAATTACTTGAGGCTGTAATGGGAATGGGGGTGGTAAAATCTTTCATGTATTCCACACACACAACTGAGAGCCTAATGCAGACAGTTTTAAAGGAGCAAGGAGAGTGATTACTGTTTGCTTGTTCAGTGATTCTGTTTCAGTTCCTCTCTCCCTTCCTTCTAGTGTCATGTGTTTTATACAGGTTGATTTGTGAATACTCTGAGGTCTCTTCTTTCCTCTTTGATTTCTTGTTGGCCCTTTCCTCCCCTGGTTTACCTGTCCCATGACTGACCTTCCTTCTGCATCACGCAACATTTACCAAGGCATTGGCTGTATCACCAGCAAAGTTTCACAAAAATGAAAGCAAAGTCTTGAGGTACAGTAATTATCAATTCTGATTAGAAATTCCTGTATCAGGCATCATTATAGAAAGCCATGGTATGGAGGAGAAAATAGTTGCAGCTTGAAGAAACATTGAGATGGGTAAATATACCTTTTGTGCATTTATGTGATCTTTTTGAATCATTCTGGTTTAGCATTACCTCACATGTGCTTAAGGATGTAAATCGATTAAATTTGAATTTTAATGCCATTCTTGATATCCTCATATCCATTCTGTTTATATGGCCAGACCTTAACTGTCATCACACTCACAAATTTTGAATTCCAACTTCTTCTCTAAGAATGCTCTTTGTAATTCTCGGTGCTTCTCAAACATTTTGTGTTTTAGTTGGATTTTGCCTTTGTTTCTCTCTGTAAGGGTCTGTGTTCGGTGCTATTTATTGGTGTTGGTGTAAAATATACTTTATAGATTGTTGCTTTGCATTGTTTTGGGGTCTCATGCACGGACTTTGTGAAAACCTAACCTGTCATGCATTATGAGGTAGGTCATGCCGTGCGAACCACCAATAGCAGTGGCTATATTGTCTGTAGTTACCCTTCTGTAAGGAAGTCAGCGCCTGTTTCCGACAGCAGCCCAAAGAATTTTATGCTGCTGGTTTTCAGGGGCTTGTGAAACAATGGGACAAGTGTCTCGGTGTACAGAGAGATAATGTTGAAAACCAAAAGCATTTTCCAAATCAGTACTCTTATTTGTTTAAGTTCTGTATCCATTTGTAACTTACTTATTGATTTACCCTGGTATATGAGAATATATTTTTCCACCTGAAGAGATGTGTCTTCTTAGAACACTTCATAGCCACCACTGTGAGAACATCATATCCAGAATATTTATCCACTTGTTTAACCATTGTGTAGTCTTATAGTGTCAATATTTTGGTTTGAGGTATATGCTACCATCTGGATGTTGTAAATGTTTGCAGGTCGGTTTGTGAACCACTCATGCGAGCCTAACTGTGAGATGCAGAAGTGGAGTGTTAATGGATTATTCAGGATGGCTTTGTTTGCTCTGAGGGAAATCCATCCACATGAAGAACTGTCATATGACTATAACTTCTCATTGTTTAACCCTGCTGAAGGACAGGTATTGTTTCACATCCCCAGTTTCAAAAGCAGTAAAACTGTCATCATATGTTTAGAACACGTTACAGTCTCGTATGGAATTTTTGTGGGATAAATATTATGAACATCCAGTAGATTTACAGGTTGTGTGTCCTGTAGTGACTCGTTGAACCACGGATAGAGGTAATGCGTTATAAGGCTGAATGAGCAGATTTATAGGTGACACTCAAGGCTTGTATTTGAGGAGATTCTCTGTCTGAATTGTGGCTAGGACATCAGATTTTATGTGACGAACACTTCCCACTGTAAATGAGAAACATTTCTTTATGAATATCTTTTGCCCACAAAAGATGCACAACAGAAGACCGCTCTTCAATAGTATACCCCTCAGTTAGGATCGCTGTTTTGACTACTAAAACCAGGATCTGAACATGTGCATGTGTGCCCGCTACCTAGGCTGTGACGAAGCTGGACTGTGCTGTTATGTAGTGATACACGTAGAAAACCTATTACATCCATAACAGCTGTTTACTTCCATTTGTGACTTATTTTCTGACTCCCTTTTGTCTCGTCACATTCTAATTTTGGTTAAAATTGGACAGTAATAATGGACACTTCGCACGAAGATTTACACGGATTTCTGCCTCCATCTCAGGCCTAGCATTCACATTTTAGAATAGAAGGAGAGCAATATATGGGGATTGATTTTATTTTCTTCTTGGTTTCACAACAAAATAGCCAGATGGGTTGGTCTACAGATAATACTCATGACTTTAATTTTGGAGATGCTCATTCCATTTCTCCATTTGGACATCAGCTTACCTGTCTGAGGTTTTAAATTGTTCTCCCAGTCCTTCCATGTATATTCCAGGGCACTACCTCAGAGCATGACCACTTCCTTCTGAATCCTCTCCACTTCATCCTTCATTTAGTACTATGTAGTCTAAATACTAAGAGGATTGTGAAGTAACGGTCAAAACCAAAAACAAACAGTAGTACATGTGCCTTATGGGTCAGTATGAATTATGTTTTGAAATACAACAGTCACTTGAAGGTATGTGTTGAGTAAGTTGAATCAGTGTACAATTAATATGGAGTTATCTTGGAACAATTCTTTGGAAGATAATTTTGTATTTAATGGCCGAATACCTCCATGCAGTTATTGGAATAGTTTCTTTACGCGTTGTGTTGGCATTTAAGTGGCATGCTATTGCATGTTAGATGGGCCTTTTAAATCTGTACTGTGAGTTTTTTGACATTCTGTTTTCTAGGAATTCAAAGAATAGGAACACAAACTGATTATTGAGGGTAGAATATAAGATGACGGGGATGATCGAAGACGTTACTGCCAAGTGTGGATCGCTATGACATATCACAAATCTAATGTGACATTTCCTTGCAGTGGGTTAAAGTGTAATGTAATTGAATCCATATCTGTCATCTTTGTGTATCCATAAGGCAAGAACTTAAGAATTTATACTCGTATGTTGAAATGTCAGGTTATCTTTTATATTCTTCATGAATGTGGGCTTTGGTTTCTTCTCATTTTGATAGCTTGACTGTGATGAGTATTCTTTTAATGATATACATTATTTCAGCCTTGTAAATGTGGTAGTATGCACTGTCGAGGCGTGATCGGCGGAAAGTCCCAGCGTGTGAATGGTACAACACCCCGCATGGAGGAGAAGGGAGAACGCAGGATGGTTGGTAGACCTCGGAAGAATGCTCGAAAGAATAGTTCCAGTGTAGGCAGCAGCATGAGTGTGAGCACTAACAGCAGCAGCAGTAGCAGCAACACAAGCAATAATAGCAGCACTGTTCATAACAGTAACAACAGCAGCAGCAATAACAACATAAGTAGCAATACCAATAATTCTGGCAGCAACAATGGCAGCACCACTAACAGTAGTAGCACCGGCGGCAAGCTGAAGTACAAGAAAGCATTGAACGAAGGAAACGCAGGGCAGAGGCAGAGCTATGTGACACCAGTGAAACCGATGTCTCACCAGCAGAGGTGTTTTGCACAGCTGCATCATTGCTTCCTGCTTAGAAACCTTGAAAAGGTGAGAGTTGAAGAGTTGGAACTTGGTATCACGTGGTAGTATTCTGAGTTGCTGATGAAATGTCAGTCAGTACAAAAATTTTGGTCTGATGTGACACAGACTCACATTGACACCATATTGGAATGAAAATTGGGTTTCGTATTGCAAATTGTCTCGAGTGGTAATTTGTTCTGACTTACATTTGGTATTTGGGAGGAGCCTCAGTGAAAAGCTTGGTTAGGATACCATCATTAGATGTTTCATGTATTTTCTCAGATCTTTCAGGCAAATGCAGGAATAGTAGCTCAAAATTTTACTGTGACCATTTCCTTCCACATTGTTTTCAGTTCATTATTCACTAATGGTTTTACCATTCACTGCTATGAAGTCTGAGATACGGACAGTGTCTTCAAGTAAAACATAAATAGATAGAAATAGATGGTATCTCATAATCAGTGGTTAATGCCTTTCATATCAAACGTTTTAAGTAAGGACACTGGATGTTTTAGAAGTCTGACAGAGTGTGGAATGTATGATTTGTAGTAGTTGAGCAAAACGTTAGTTGGTTCTGATGGTATGTAGTGTTGAGCTGCATTGTAAGTGTTTGTTAGTTAAAACTGGGCGTGCTGCATCAGTGTGCAGTGTGTATTCAGAGATCTGTTAACTCATGCCAGTTTATTAGACAAACCTAAGATGTACAGTATGCACCAAAATATGCAGTACCGAAACTTGTGCATGTGTGTTTGTCAACGGTGCATAGCTCCAGCCGCACGTGTTCCCAGTAGTGGAAAGGCAGTTGTGTTGTGCAGTTGTTGGAAATGGGGCTCTCAACGGAGGAAAGTATTCATAGTTGAGTATTATTTCCGCACATATGGAAGTGTTTGCCAGACAACTCGGTTCCTTGGTTTTGAGCAGCCAGATGTCATCGTCCAGAAACCGCTACATAGTACATGTGCGGCAAAATGGTGTGCCGTCTCAGCATATGGTATATCAGGCCCCTATTTCATTGAGGATGTGGAAGGCAATGCTCTTACCATCACCCAAGAATGCTACAGGGACATGGAGATCGGACCATTTCTTCAGGATTTGAGAAGGTTCTGTCATGCAAGGGCCTTCACATGAATGGAAAGTGGTATCAACAGGGCGTCTTTTCATTTCAGTAGTAAAAAACTTGTTGCATACTGTATATGGTCAAAGTTTTAACCATAATTGTTAGGGAGAAAGCTTTGTTGAAATTCAACGGGGAATCGTTTCTTTCATAACTTCATTCTTTACTCCCTCATTTTCCTCTATTAATTTATATATCCCTTCCTTCTTTTTCTATAAAAATAGTAAATTAATTTACATCTTTATCCTTCAGATGACACAGTTTTAAATGTAATGCTGCCAGTTGTGTAAGTATATGAAAACATCATTAGTGTGGAAATGATGTGAGAACAATATAACATGCAGACAGATCACAAACTGTCTCCTGTCCCTCTACACATATAAAAGTAATCTGACATCTGCTTTGTGCGAGTTGTAGCAACTGTGTGGGAATGTGAATGGAGGTACTGCTGGATGTTTTGCATGTACAGGTTGAGAGGCGTTCAGCTCGAAAATGCTATGACTGTAGTCCAGTGGCTGAATCTTTCTTTGGGCAATTGCCACATTGTAATTTTGATATATGAGTTAATCATTGCTGTTATTTCATGGTCTGCAAAAAGTTTTAAGCGAAAACTAATAAGCCAGGAAGAAATCCTTGTGTTTGCATTAACAATTCTGTACCTTTCTTTGAACTTTAAGTGATGTGGGGAAAAAATGAGAACTGTTCACACATTCCAGATGTACAAACAAAAGTTCATGTAATAGGGTGTGTCAAAAACAGTGTAAACTAATACTAAAATTAGAGATATCAAATATAAAAGCAAGGAAGATGTGTAAATCAGAGCCATCTGCTACTTGCATGTATGCTACAGCATGTTGTTAAACGCAGAATAACAACGGGCATTTAAATGCGCACCAGCAGCGGGCATTTAAATAAACTCCGGCCAGCTCAAGCTTACTACCATTTCAGAAGTCTGGCGTTTCAAGTTTAAGGCAGTAAATGTTGTAAGGTGAAAGTATTATCTCTTACAGCACTTATCTGTTCATGATGGTTGTGGTAATAATTTCATAATGCAGTATTATGTGTAATCAGCCCTATATTATATTGAAGAAATTGCTGAGGAAAATAATGTTATAATAGATTTCAGTTGAACTCTCCTTTTCCTGATTGCAGGTTAAGCGTCTTCGTGAGCGCTTGAAGCAGGCTTCAAGAAGGGAAGAGTCAGTGCTCTGCAACTATGCACGGCCACAAGTGAAACAGTCAGATGTCTTTCTGACACAGCTCAATGCACTAACCAGCCCCCGTAATATTCGTACACGGAGGCTAGCGCAGGCTGAGGACAATCCAGAACTGACGAGGACAGCGCGGCTTGCTTATGTGTTACGTGACCTATACAACATTGTGATAGCAGCAAAAGGTATGTCATTCCTTGCTTTCGTGGGATCTAATGCTGTGTAGCATAGGGGACATGTGCCAAGGGTCCTCTGAAACCTTGGTATACATCTGCTAACTACACACCATCATATGCAAGAAGACTGATGATGATGATATCCTTTTATTGCAGAAGCAGATCTCTTATTGCATAGCAGACTGTGGTGCAGAGTTCACAGTACACAGAGTTTGGAATTGGGGGGGGGGGGGGCTTGAATTTTGTTGGATAATAATTACATCAAAAAGATCTCAGATTAAAATTGTAGGTCTGTATAAGACATGAATTTTTTATCATTCACTGTTCTATTTTAGAAAATGTAAGTTTAATTCAAGGTTTATGTCAAATAGGTACTTGATATTCAAAATTCATGATCAAAATAGTTAGATGTGCACTGTTCTGAGTGTTGTTTTAATTTATTGCAGATGAGCGAGGAGAAATGCTGGCAGCCCCATTTCTGACATTGCCATCGAAACGCAAACTTCCACAGTATTACCAGCGTGTCACAGATCCAATTGATCTATGCACTCTGGAACAAAATATTGTCACAGGATTTTACCGTACCGTGGAATCCTTTGATCGAGATATGAGTCGGCTTTTCAACAACAATGTGCGATTCTTTGGGCGAACATCAGAGTTGGGTATTGCAGCCACAAGGTTACGTAAGGCATATAATATGGCAAAAACCGACTTCCTTGCTCAGATAGAAGACATCTTGGGGGAGAGCCCTCCAGCATCATTCTTACCAGAACATGATCCAGGTTTGTATTTTATTTTCTGTGATTTGGAACTTTCTGGTCAAGTACAAGTACTTGTGTCATGCATTATTTGCACATAGTAGCTGAAGTGAATGCTTTTTGGTGAGGTCTGTATATGCGTCTTCAAATTTTGCCTTCAGAATTACAAAATGGATCTCGCTCATGTTTGATATTTGGGTCTGCAATTGTAAGGGAAATTTTTCTCATAGTGATGACTGTAAAGGGTGCAGTGTTGTGTGTTGTTATGCCACATAGTTCATAGTGAGTCAGGTGGCACTTGCTGAGCTGAACTTGCCACATGCTTCTGCTAGTTTCTTGTGTAGTTTATTCTTCAGCCTTGAAGGTGGAAGTGATAAGTTCCTCCAGAATGTCAGATGCTTGTCTGAGTTACATGGCATTATAGCCCAAAAAGTCATAGTATTTAATCATTTTCTTAATTTTTGTGTATATGTATGCAGTATAAGATTATATGGTGTTGAAAAAAGTTTTTATGATTTTTTTAATATATATATATATAAGGGACAGAATGTGAATCATTAAAAATCACAGTTTTTATGTGAAATGTTTTTATATGAATATTTCATTGAATTTAAGGAAAATAACATTATGACCATGTAGTTTGATTAGCTTTGCAATGGTATATTTACCGTATTTACGCATGTATAGGCCGCGTGCGAGTATAGGCCACAGCACAATTATCAGACAGAAATTATAGAAAAAATAATTTTCTTGGAATATTATTTCAGGAGTAGAACACCCTGTATTACTAATTATGAATATAATTTTTTTTAAATGAAGTGTGATTTCGAATATAAGCCACACCCCAGTTTTCCTCTTGAATTTTTGGCAAAAATGTGCGGCCTATACATGCGTAAATACGGTATATCAGTAGTAAACAGACTTCATGACAGGTGAGATATGCAGAACAAATATGTATATATATATATTTGTTTGTTTATTTAAGGCACTGTCAGTAGCTCAGACTGTGCAGTGTGAAATGGCCGAATGATTTACGAATACTGAATTGGAAAGGATGTGTAAGGAAATGAGCATGGCCTGATTTGAGATACTGATTTGGCACTTGCCTGGAAAGTTTTCTTTTTGCTAGTGGGGTGGGACTAAGCCCCTTGTACTGTGGCCACTTCTAGCCTATTGTACCAGCCCCAGATGATAGGTGAGGGTGATTGTGGAGCAATTGGTGGAATGAAGATTGGCAGGGGAAACCAAAGTACTCGGAGAAAACCTGCCCCAGCGCCACTTTGTCCACCACAAATCCCACTTGACCAGACCTGGGATTGAACCCGGACCACCACGGTGGGAAGCCAGCGACTAACCGCTTGAGCTATGGCGCGGCCTGCCCGGAAAGGTTAAAGAAAGCCCGAAATATCTCAGTTAGGACAGTTTGGATTCTTACAAGCCCAAATGCTATAATCACTTAAGCCTACTGCAAAGTAGGAAGGAATGGGTTTGGAAACAACGTGTACTCCAATGGAGTATATATGCTTGTAAATCATTTTAGAATTACTTAAGCTATATAAATGTTCCATACTGAGTACGTTTGGTGTATTTATCTGTATCACCATATAACATTCATGGTTTTTATGGTGGTGACTGAATGGAATGTGACACCATGTAGTCTGGTTAATGTTTATCAGTGTTGTGGAGGACACAGAATCGCATTCATTTTACGCTGCTCCTATAGGTAACTCTTGGCCCCAGTCGTCTTCCCCTCATTATTTCACCGACAGTTTGCTCCTGAAGGTGGGTGCAGGAGGCAGCAAACAGTGTTTGTATCGACGTAGTTTGAACGCATCATATGAATCGACGATAAATGGGAGAAAATACCATGGCCTCCTCCATGAATTAGATCGCCCCTTTGTAACCTAAAGTGGAATGTTGTGCTCCTGTAGATTCATATGTGTTCCATATGCATTCCTTGTTATTTTCCTTACCTCGTTTGCATCAGTGTTCACTGATGATGTTAATCTGTTGTTACAAGGTTGATCACACCATAAATCTCACACTGTCCAGCCTCAAAGGTTTATAGTTCTTTTGTTTCATTATGTATTCGCTGTGTTAGAAGGTTTTATCAATATCTGTGTTCCATGTGCAGTATCTGTCATATGAGAGCCATTACTGAGTAGGGGTTGTGTTTTACTGATCTCAACTAAAATGAAGTTAATCTGTTAACATGCAGCATAGACTTCCCTGATGCAAAACCAAGTTTAGTTAAAACATAATGGAGTATTTAGAGGTGAAATATCCAGGTGGATGGGCATGCACTGGCGAGATGAGGATTTATGTATATAATTTCTGAATGTTTTTGATGGAGGTGCATCATAGGACATACATTAAGCGGCCTCCGTAGTTTAGGGGTAACTTCCCACCTCATGACTCAAGTTATGCGGGTTCAAACCCGGTGGAGGTTGTGGAATTTTTAAGGGCGGAAAAATTCAGGGAACAAGTCCTCTGGGAGGGACTTTAAGGCATGGGTCCCATGTCGTAGATTTATGGCACATAAAAGATCCTAATGTGTCTAGGAGACCTCTAAGCAAAATTAGGCAAAAAGTTTCCCACCCAAGTAGTTGCCAGTGCCTCCGGTAGATGGGGAAAGTTATCGGGTACCAATGTCAGTAGAGGACCGACCTCACTGGCAGAAAGAGGAGAGTTATCGGGTACCACTGCCAGTAGAGGGCCGACCTCGCTGGCAGAAAGGGTAGATAGTGGGCACCAGTATCGGTAGGGTATGGCGACAGTAGAAATTAAAGGGGGACGTACAATAGACTACCAGTCGCGGTGCATGGGGAAACTCACCCCCTCTATACTGAATAACTGAATAGGACATACATTCCCTCAGTTGTGTTCTGATATTTCAGAGTTTCGTAAAAAGGTTTTGTTTCCATCTTCTGATAAAAGTGAACCTAATCTGAGGGGTCATTTGGAAAGATCTAGTCTCCATTTACGGGTCCAGTAATAACATAAAACCTAGACAGTGGATTATATCCAAAGTATTGCAGTTAACAATGACTTATTTGTTGATATGTTAAATGGATTATTATCTGTAACAGTATATAAGGACTGAAAGAACAGAGTTGACATTGTGAGATTCTCATGACACTGCCTGTGAATATCATCTTGTGGGGTGTCATGCCATTTTTCTATTCTACCCTGAAGATGGAGGCAGCATGTACCTCCAAAACATCGCTAAATATATACCTGGCTACGTGGCATCTTGTCACAGAAGACAGTAATCTTTAAAGTGGTTATGTTTTCAGGAGGGGAAGAAGAGGACGTGATCAGGTGCATATGTGGCTTATATAAGGATGAAGGCATGATGATCCAGTGTGAACGTTGTCTTGTGTGGCAACACTGCGATTGTGTACGTGCCGATGAGGGTGTGGAGCATTATCTCTGTGAGAGGTGTAATCCACGTCCTGTGGAACTGGAGATTGTAATGGACCCACAACCCCATTATGCCACTCCTGGTCTCATAAATTACATCACATTACTCAGGGGTGATCTGCAGCTCAGACAGGGTAACACTGACTTGTTACATCATATAGAGAAAGTGTGTAATTATGATGAGAAGTCAAAGTTTTGAAAATTAGGTAGCCAGACAAAGATTGTAGTTGCCTCCATTCAGCATGAAAGATTTATTTTTTTCCAGTCATAAAGTTTTTCCTAACCCCCCCTTGCCGTGCATAAAATAATGGCAAAAAAGAGTTAAATTTAGAGAGAAATTAATTCTTTTGACCAACTATTTGTACCGATCTTAACTTCTTTGGATGTGGTACTGCATTCCCTCAATGTGACTGAGTGAGACTGCAAGAACACCAAAGCCAATTTCCAAATGTGGAATGAGAAATTAGGCACCAGCAGATTTATTTCCTCATGGGTCCATTTTCTTGACCCCCGATTGTGACATGTGGTATGATCAGAATCTTACCTTCTTACGTGGAGGCCCATAGAGTTGTGAGATGTTGAGGTTACCACATTTTCTAGACAGTCAGCTCATAGGTGGCAGCAAGGTTGTCAGCCCTACGCGCTGGCTGCCCTTTACCTCCAAGAATATTCTGGTACTCATTTCTGTGAGACGCTGAGTCAACTCCAGGGCCATAATGCAGCCGGAAGGATTAGGTCAGTTGAAAAAATCCATTGACTTCATCGGGACTTGAACCCGTGACCTTCCGGCTTGTAGCATATGCCTCAACCAACTACACTATCACGTGGCCCTGTTTAAAACATAGATTAAAATAATTTCAGTATAATTTTACCAACTGTCATGTATGGATGTGAAACTTGGCCTTTTATCCTAGATCCTAGATTACAAGTGTTCGGTAACAGGGTGCTGAGAAAAATATCTGGACCTAAGAAGGTAGAAATTATAAGTGGATAAGAGAATTGCACAGTGGGACACTTTATAATTTGTACTCTTCATTGGGTGTTAGGCTGATCAAGTCAAGGTGAATAGACAGATGATGGGTCATGTAGCTTGCATGGGGGAGACAGGAAATGTTATGAGATATAGGTTGGAAAAAGAGACTACTTAGATTGCATAGGCATATATGGGAAAATAATATTAAGATGGATCTTAGTGTGGAAAAGATTCATCTAACTCAGAACATGATCCATTTGTGGGCTGTTGTTAGGTTCACCAAAAGGAGGGCACTTTCTTGACTACCTGACTGATCATCAACTTCTTCAGATGTACTTTGTGCCATGTAGTTAGATGAAAGTGGTGAAAATATGTCTTTTTCATGAATAGGCAGTAGTGATACAGAATTCATGAAATGAAATAAAATAAAATAAATTTCTGAAGACAATTGTGAAAGAATGGAGGTCATTTTTACAGGGCATCCTTTGCTATATGATATTCTGTTTAATCATGCAGGTGATACTGTGTATGTGCTGCGGGATATGGTAGAGGAGAATGCGCCGAAGACATCTCCTCCAACCAAGCACACCTACAAAACGATCAAGAACTTCAGTTACGCAGATCTGGATATTTTCAGGATAGAACGACTCTGGAAGGATGAAAAGTAAGGTGGACAATGTTGCTGATACACCTTGCTCGTGTATTTGTGTGACCTAGATGGACCATGTATTGATCTTCCAAGATGGTATTAACTTTTATTGGCGTACACCTCATTCCTGTGTTGTCATGCATGTACAGTCCAGCTGATTGAGCTTCGTATTTTTGGGTATTAATGTAGTTATTACTGCTGATGTGACACATTCACTGCTGTGTCATCTGATAGTGTTGTTACCTGCTATGCTATCCATTTTTCCACAAAAACTGTCAACACTATGTAGCCTAATTTACTGACAGGAACATTAAATAAACTGACTGTGGGGCTCACCCAGCATCCTATCCAGTTGGTACCAGAGGCTCTTTCCCTCAGCAGTAAAGCGACCGGTGGATCAAGCTAACCACTCACCTCCAACTGTGCCTAGGTCAAGAAAACTTGGATCTGTACATCCACTCCCCTATACACCCTAAGCACAGGGACAACTGTACAGTTTCATCATTAAATAACACAAAAAAAGTAATCTCAAAAGCTGGTTTTTGAACTTAATAGCCCTTCAGTGTGGGCATTTCTATACCACAGTTGTGAGTTGCATGCAGTACTATTTTTAAATGTCATTTAATTTTTGTTCATTAATAATGTTTATAATTTTTTAACAGTGTGAAATGTAATGGTGAATTTTTCGGTGAAATCTCCGTAAAAGATGGATTTCTAAGCTTACCTTATGACATAGACACTTTGTATAAGCAGTGCAAGCAGCTGTATGAGAATTCTGTATTTCAGCATCCCATTACAGTCGTTCAACTTAACATCCATTATTTATTGTCTGTCAATATTGCAACACTCTTCCATTCACCACTAAATTTTTTATTTTCACAATATACTCGACACTACATGTTTCGGCCCCAAACGACAATCTTCAGGTGTCTTGATATGTTACAGTTATTTTATTAAATTGTGTTAAAACTGCTACACTGTCTTAGTTCGTGTTAAAATTACATGCTGTAGTCCTCTTTTTAAGGTAAAACCTTAAACAATTTTAGAACTGGTTTTGTGAAATAGCCTTCAGAGTTAACCATCGTATTACTTCTAATGTCATCAGTGTCATCAAAATGCCTGACTTTCGGTATTTCCTTTATCTTCAGGAACAGAAAAAAGACAGTGGGGGCTAGATCCGGCGAATAGGGAGGGTGTTCTGGCACAGTTATTTGTTTACTAGCTAAAAACTCCCTCAGAGACAGTGCCATGTGAGCAGGTGCATTGTCGTGATGCAAGATCCATGAGTTGCTGGCAAAATGTTCGAGTTGTTTCTGTCTAACTGTTTCACAGCCTTTTCAGTACTTCCAGAGAGTAAACTTGGTATGCCAAAATCATCAATCCAGACTGAAATTTGTGTTCACTGCTGCCACAGCAAGCACACGGTGGCAAGTTCGCGAACTTTATTGTCAGACCTCATATATTCACGAGTATTTTCATTATTAGAAACTTAATTCAAAAGATGCATTTTTCCAGCTTCATGAACATATGATATGTTGAAGGGCCGACCATGATAAATATGTGGTCACACATTTATATTTGGACTGACTGGCCCAGCTTCAGGAAAATAGAAAGCTCACTCTTTTCACAGCATGCTGGTGCTAATGCTATCACACCGCGTTATTCCTTCCATATTTGTGGGCCATACAAATTGAGCTCATAGCTGAGTGCATGGTATACGTCGAACCGCAGATAGAGCAGTGAAACATCCAATGTAGCCTCTGCATGCGACCACACTGAGGGGTTTGAGAACAGTGGAAATTAGTAGCAGGTCACTGTTTCAACTCTTTCAGGTGTCACTGAGTTAGAGTAAAAAATTCCTTTGTGTGTGAGTAAATGCTTCCTTCAGCAAGAATCATCTTCTAATGACCCAAGTACAAAGTAATTATTGTGTATTTCCATTTTGTGAATTTTGATTCTTGCCATGATTTTGCTTTTGACTTTGTAATAAATAGGATGTTTAGTTTCACATTTCCTTGATCTCAGCACTAGTGGAAGGTAAGTGGTCAGCTTCACGCCCCCACCACTTTACCCCCAAGGAAAAAGCCCCCGGTACCCATGGGATATGAGTTTGGGTGAACTCCAGAACTGATCTGGATGAAGTGGATCCTACTGGGACTCAGACTCTGACTCCTGAGTTGTCCAGCCCATAGCCAGTCACAATTGTGACTGAACTATCCCTGCACGCGAGATGAGACTAAAGGTTAATGAGGAAAAACCGAATACATGGAAGTAACTAGACTGATAGTCCCTCCCCCACAAAGCCTAGTCTCCATACTGACTGAGCCATCCTTAATCCTTGTGTAATGGAAATGCATAATGGAATTTACAGCTATTTTACTTTTCTCTTCTATTAAAGAAATGAGCGATTTGCTTTTGGGCACCATTATCTTCGACCCCACGAAACATACCATGAACCGTCACGGAAGTTCTTCCCAAATGAAGTTATGAGAGTTCCATTATATGAGGTGGTGCCACTGGATCTGATAATGGGACACTGCTGGGTGCTGGACCTCAATACGTACTGCAAGGGTCGTCCTGTGGGTGCACCTGAGGAACATGTGTACATCTGTGAATATCGTGTGGACAAGAGTGCACACCTTTTCAGCAAAATCGCAAAACCCCGCCATTCCATATGCACCAAGACATATGCGTTTGAGACCTTTGACACAAGATTGAATCCAAAACGCACGTACACAGTGAGTAACATGTATTATTATGACATTTTGATGGGAAGATGTGGATAATTTGTCACAGACAGAGCACACCACTGAACTTCATATTTTGCAACCTCTAGAATATTGAATATGAGTATTCTGGGATGTGAATCCATATAGTTTGGTAGGACATAGCAGTGTGTTAGAGGATCTTGCTGTGTCCATCTTCAGGGTGGAAGAGTAAGCCAAGTGTGGAACTGAGTGGTGCAGATTATAGGTAGGGCCAAACAAGACCAGAGCTGTAAGCAAAGCAGTAGTAGTAAGGGGAGCATCATAAAGAATATTGGCCCCTAAAAGGTCTCTTTTCCAAGGGCATATTGATTGAGAGGTATAATGGCCGAAGCACTAGGGAGCAGAAGAGAAAAGGGAGAAAGTAAGGAAACACTGATTGTTTATGGGAAACTTTTAAGAGAATGGTGATTAAGAAAAAAGGAAAAATTTTAAGGGAGGCCCGCACCACCACCACGACCACCATCACCTCTTTTTTTGAGGATCATCCCTGTTTTACATTGGTCAGTGAAGGAAAATCTCCAGCCCCGCCAACTGACCCATCTTGTTCTCTGTTCTGTACATATTTTCATTTTAAATTCCAATTCTAATGCCCTTCTAATTATCCTTGTTCAGTCCTTGATTTTTGCATGGGTGTAATCCTTTCTCCCCATATTCTGTTAAAGAATTTTTAATTCAGCTTATCAAAGAACTGCATTCCGAGTTCTATGCCTTCTTGTGCCCCCCTCCATGCTTCTCAACATTTCATGTCTTATCACGTAGATTTTGCATTTTATCCCTTTATGGTCCCACATTTTGGTGTTATGTATTAATAGTGGTCAAAAGTGAACTTTAAGATTCTTCTTTTACATTGTTGTAGGATCTCTATTCCATAATATTCCTTTAATAATTTGATAAAACTTCAAACTATTTTGTACCCTTGTGTAGACTGCTTTGTTGACACATGGCACAAGCATTGCATTACTTTAATGAAATGATATTAATATTAAATACAGCAGAGAGATCACAAAAATGACCATTTTTTTTTTTCAGCAATTATAGAAATCATGATTCAGTAAAAATGAACATGTGAATATCAGTTTGGTGGTTTTCTTCTGGATTTAAGAAGCAGCAGTGCAAGTGCACGTACAGAATTTGAGTTCTTGACTTCATCTCTCATCATGAGTGATGCAGTAAAAGTTACAATGGTAGTAGGTGTATGGAACTGACTCACATTATGTCTGTTGACAGGCTTTGGTATGAGTGGCATTTAACTTTAGGGTTCTGCTACCAGAGGGGCAGTTTGTTAGTTTATTTTTAATTTCAGCCCCATGGTCCAGTGACATTGCGTGCTCGTGGGCGGGGTGCAAACAATCGCACATCACAGGAGGAAGAATCCAAACCCAGTGCTCCCACTGAACTGCAGCAGCCGCAGAGCTGCCAGCAGCAAGACGATGATGAGCTGCCACTAGCCAGAGTAAGGGACGATGCTTTGGCACGAAAGGCATGTCTCAGCTTTGCTTACTGCTTCTTAATTAAGGATTTGATGCATGTTGGACATCTGTTATACAGAATACCCTGTGTTACAATGGTGGGAAAGATAAGACACCGATTTCCAGGGGGTTGGCCCAAAGAAGTAGTCATTCTTAGAGAAGACTGTGTAGCTGAAATTTACAGAGGATAAGTTAGTTACGTTCTCCAGTTTCTGATGTACATACATTAGGATGTTATTCATGTAAGTCCTCCATGTCGCAAATATTATATGGAGTGAAAATGATCAGCCATCAAGCTTTCTCGTGTGCACTTTGTTTACAATGAAATATATCATTGCTATGTTAACTGTTGGAGTTGATGTTTGGATTTTGTGATCCCAATTAAAATTGTATAAATTTCTTTGTAAACTGCTTTCTTTACTTAAAAGTTAAAGAAGCCCACAAATGAGATCACCATTTTGTGTGTGTGTGCCTACTTGCTTGCGTGTATATGTTTCCATTTAACTTTGGAATTAAGTGACCAGTTTTCATGAGACTTGGTATGAATGTTCTGCTGTTGGAGATCACCCAGTACCCATACATTTTAATTTCCTGCAGTTAATAAAACAGCTTGATGGATGCACAGATATGTACTTTTTGTTTGATGGTGATAACTAATGAACCTTTCGAGCTAAGTATGTGAAGTTTTGTGTCTTGCTAGACCATTGGCATACCTACTCCTTATGTATGCAGTATTGTTCATAAGCCAACAATTAGAAACATGGTGATGTTGCAGATTGTCAAGTTTATATCCATCAGAATTAATGTTTACAGAATCTGCAATGAAGGAATAAGATTTTCCTGGGAAAAAAAAAAATTATTAAAAGCAATGAATCTGTCAGACTTATGCAATACAAAAGTGGGCCCTATGAGTTCTACTTAGAACCTCTTGTGATATATTATGTTTTAATTTTAATTTAGTATGTCCTGTTTTTTATTACATAGTAGTAAAATATACCACTGAAATTAAAACTCTTATATTTGCTGTAGGTATTACAGAAATCATTATTTAGGTCAGACATATGTATAAGTAGTTTTTTATTTAGTTGTAAAAGAACTTTTCTTAAAGAACTCCACATTGAATAAGAGATAGACCGAAACTGTCTCGTAATATTCCACATGCTGGATTACTTATAATTGATTTTAGGTGAAATATATTTATTTTTAGTAGATATGGTTAATCCTGTGTGGTGTTATAGAGTTCCAGAAACAAGAGGTGTTATAAACTCCCACATTTTAATTTTTCAGAAAGTTACAAATGGAACTTTATATCAAAAATTTAATGTTACTGTTCAAAGAAAGGTGTATGTGTTGCTTTCTGTCTGTTAGAGATGAGGCTCAAATATTGAATGTTAATTGGGAATTATTTATACTTAAGTGAGATGAGCAGGTGGGAATCAATCGCTATGTAATGTTATTGTCCGGTGTGAATGAGTTGCTATACAGGGACTTTGATGTCCAACGTGTATCCATTGCTATACAAAGATGCTATGTCCAGTGTGAATCACAGATGCTTACATGCTCCGCATGCTAACTACACTTATGATGTAACAGTCATCGAACTGTACTGACGTGTCATGGGGTTTTTGGATTGGGATGGCAATATTGAGAAAGCTTCTTTCTTCGTTGTACATATCTTATGCTTGACTTACGTGTGGCTTTAGGTTCTGCACTAGGAATAAATATTTCTGAGCCCTCATGGTACTAGAGTGAGTTGGAATAGCTCAGTCAGTAAAGTAACTGGCTGTGGTTTGAACAGCTCATAAGAGCAGGGATTTTTCTCTTTGCCACTGCATTCGTACTGGCTGTGGGATTGTGAGTACTGGGGGTCAGTGGTCGGAAAGTCTCAGCTAACCACTCACTCACATTTATTGTAAAGGTTAAGAATTTATGAAACTTCTTCTCATAGTACCAGGAGAGACTTAATCACCAGTTCATTGGGTACTGATTAATCCTCTCCAGGTAAAATGCTTGTAAATACTGCTGTATATATTATTTGTGGTCTTCACATTATTATTTTGAAAAAATGTATATACAAAAATTGCCTTGGCAGTGCCCATCCAGCCCTTCCACATTCATGTTCTATTCGTCTTCCAGTGACATCTGTTGGAAAGTGTACTACTTGATGGTTTTGAATCCTACAGTGTGTGAGGACAGCATTCATATATTGGTTGCAGTGCCTACACATTGTTTCAGTGTGTAATGGTTCCCTCCCCCCCTGTGGTTTATCTCATGACATAAGTTTTGAGATAATCAAGTGACATAGATGCTACATATTAATTTCCAAATTTCTGTATTCAGCACCCACCATGGTCTCATGGCCCCATCCTAAGATTATTGTAAGAGTATGTGTTGTCTGTTTTTTGGTATTTCTTCTGGTCATTCATTAGATCAGATAATCAGGGGTATACTGTATTAATTTAGTGTTCTTACGAGGCTCACCCATTTAAATTGAAGCATTTGAAGGAAAGTAGCCATTGTAAGTTCTTCTCAGAACTTCTTATTTTATATTGTCATGTAATGGAGTGACTGTAGATGGGGTTTGGATTGGTAATTAGATTTACTGGACACTTACACTCGTAACTACAATTAACTCCAACAGTCTCACTGAGTTACACCCTCCAAAGATAACTGTAGCTATAGCACACGTAAAGTCTTTGAAGTCTTTACTAGCTGCTGCTTGGTAGTGGCTTGCAATGGTGAATGTTCCCCTTCCTCTGGATTACCAAATCGCCTCTGGCCTCAGCTACCAACTTTTTACATCTCACAACTGCAACTCTTAGTCCTCGTTACATAGTCCTGGCACAGACTTCACAGGAAACGTCTCTCCCATTATTGCATGTTCTCTCATTCCTGTGGAAACGTGTCCACAGAACTGTTCCCTGGCACCAGCTGGTTTTACTGTCACCTGTTTACAGAGCTGTTACTTGGCAATGGGTCTGCATATCAGAATATATATATTAACTGTGGCTTAGCTATGCCATATTAACATCTTCAAAAACCTTGTGTTGTACTACAGATGCTCTTCTTCAGTCTTTGTATTCACCTTCATGTATTCACTTCCTGCCCTTATAAATCATTCCTCACATCTTCTAGCCGTTTCAGCCTTGGCTTTCACCCTTTTATCTGCCTTCTAGTTTGCTATAAGAAACTTTTCTTAGTTACTGGGTTTTGCTTGATAGTGACTTCTAACAGTGGAGATTCCTCAGCTTCCATGCACATGGCTGACTGATCACTGAGTCACAACTAAGTGACTTTCAGGTTTTGCGTAAATCACTGCTGGCCTTTGCCAGCGCAGTCATTTTTGGTTCCAGGCCAAACAGGACCCAGGACTCTAGTTTCTTTCTCAACATTCTGACTGAGTCATGAAAACTACTGATTTATCCTTGTGGTCCTTGTGTGCTTTGGCATGTAATGCATAGAAAACACTGCTTCAAACATTTCCTTTGGTATTGCATAACCATTGTCACAAGAATGTGCTTACTGGGGTATTGCCTAGCATTGTGCATATTGTGGAATATTTGCTCAAAGCAAGAACTGTGGAGCCAGAAGAAATGTCCATTGCTAGGGAACAGCACGGTAATATCACATGACCTGCGTTTTCTGCGTAGTCCACGCCATATTCCCACAGCAACAGAGATGCGCACAACAATAGAGGAACTGTTGGAATCAGTGTTTTCTATGTTGTCCATGCCTAGGCTACATATGGAGTCCACATCCTTTCATCAAAGAGGAAGTTACACAAGGACTATGACTGAAGGGGTTCAGTTGCACAAAAGAAAAGACCGTGGTCATGAGCCTGAAGGGGCTTGGCACCAAGATGAACTGATCAGTGATAAACTGCCCATCACAAAGTAACTCTGACTCTGTGGGTCATTTAAGTGTGGGTGCTACCACCTGAAGCCAGCAATCATAGTATGAGGTTGGTGTGAGAAGGTCTCCAGCCTGCAAGGATGTGAGCTCAAAAGCAGAGGAGCATGTGCCATGGAGAGCCATTACCAAGCATTGTGACTGAGGAAGTTAGTCTCTGCATGATCTGTTAAGTGCAGCCATCAGCTGTAAAATTGTGGAGGAAATGCAGTTATCAATCCGGAACCCATCTGTAGTCACTCAAATCGCATTACAACTGGTGTCAAAGTGGGATATGTGGCATATCTGCTGAAAGCCAGGATTGTGAAGCCAGCAGAGACAGCCATTGCTAGGGAATAGCACGATAGCAATGCAAGGCATGGTGTTTTCTGTGCAGCCCATGCCACAGTCCCACAGCAACAGAAATGTATGCGACAGCAGAGGAACTGTTGGGGGTGGTGTTCTCTGTGCGTCTTTGCAGAGGCCATATCTGGAGAATCAGAAAAAAAGCCAGTTAGTTGAGAGTCTAGTAGTCTGCAGTTAGCAGTTGGGAGACAGACCTGTCAGAGTTTCTTACAGAAAGTTGCCCCTGGTGGAGGCTTGGAAAGCAGATGACCCCCCCATTGTCATAAGTTGTTGCTTAGCAATGCCGAATACAGTTGTGAGATAGGCACTGGCCAGTGAGGACAGAAGCTGTGGAACATGAAATCTCAGGGAACTATGCTGTTGGAAGCCATAACCTGACAACCAGTGAAGACACAGAGGACTGAGAACACTTAGTGCATGCTTTCCTGAACTGGAAAGTGTTTAAATTAGTGAAATGGTTATAATTACTTGTAGTCACGAGTCTTAAAGAGTACAGTAAATCCAATTACCAATCCAAACCCCACCTAGAGTCACCCAACTCATGACAGTATATTCTGATTCAACTGTTCCGGCTTTCTGCTGTCATGTCGCAGTATGTTTTTTTCTGAGCTTAGATTCTTGGCTTCACACCCAAACCCCAGTCTGAAAAACTTTTTTTTTCTGACTGCTATCTGCAACCTAACATGGGGACCTTGCCAGGATCTTAATGTCCCCCACTTGCATGGCTCTCCAAGGGGTTAGGGCACACAGACCTCCCCACCAAGTTAAGGTTGTAACATGGATGAGGTTTAAAGTTGCACTGCTTTGTTCAACATAACATGCATGCATGCGTGTGAGAACGCGCACGTATCTGGAGGGTATTTGGGTGGTGGCAGTTGTTGGCCATCTAGATATGTAAATATATGTGTGCACATTTGTTCTGAAACTTAATATTAACACTGTATTGAACTCCTACATGTTCTGAAACTTGCTTCTCATTGGGTCATATAGCAGGAAGTCATTTTCAGATTTCAGAACTTGAAATGGGGCCAGCTGTCAGCTAGTGTGAGCAACTGCTTTCTACATCACAACACGTTATTAATGTGTATTTCACATCAACAGTGGTCATGTCAAAAATTGTTCATCTTGGCCCAAGATTTCTACTTCTTTATGACGTTCATACAGTGCACAGTTGTAATGATTCTTATATATAATTTTTTTCTGTCCTTTTGGTGGGGTTTCTCCATACCATGTAAGGTAATAAGCACAGATCTGCTTAGAAATTTCAGTATGTAGAAGTATAACCTATAAATGTGAACCTTGCCGTTGTCATGGCTGTGAATGTGAAGATTACATAAGAGTGGTTGTGACTGTGGGGTCTGGTGGTTCCCAGTACTGTAAGGGAACCTGCTGCCTCCATGTTTGAAATAGAAGGTGGAATGTGACGAGAGACGTGAAGAAAAGTGTCTTCTACCCTGAAGATAGAGGCAGCACATTTCTCTCAAACATCACCAGATTACATAGCATCACATCCCCATAAGAAGGAAATTCTCATAATTCACATACTTCTTCTTTGAGTGAGCTTCTTAAAATCAAAACCATACACAAAGTTCAACACTGTATTGCCTGACATATAGACGGCATTATTAAATAGATAAAAAATTTGTCAAAGGAGAGTTTCATAACAGCGCTTCATTTTGTAGTCATGTTCTGACTATGAAATTGACAATACGAGTATCAGTAGGATGGAAAAGAAGGCCTTTTGCCTTACCAGTGAGTCAGAAAACCAATACAGGGAGTGGAGTGGCAGTAAAGCTCAGCACATTCCTAGCCTTTACACTGTACAGAAGTGGGTGGATCAGTTTTATACTGATTTCCTTTATCCTTAAGGGAGAGAAGAGGATTTCTGGGAGGGCTTAACCTCCTGACTGAGCTGTCTTAGCTCATAATTGAACCAACTTGGCTCATGTATTTGGGTGGGGTAGTTGTGGACCTTTATAGCAGGTATTTGTAGCAATGAAGGTACCAAAACATTATTTACAAACAGTAAAGTCTGGATTGGGCAAAGGTTTCGCTGTAGTAGGCCGTGGAAGCATATAGGGTTGTGAGATGTCGAGGCTCCCACATTTTCTAGACAGTTGGCTGACAGATGGTGGTGAGGTTGTCAGCCTTATGTGCCGACCTCCCTTTATCCCCAGGAAGATTCCTGGTACTCATTTATATTAGAGGCTTATTTGACCCCAGGGCCATAGTGCAGCTGGAAGGATTAGATCAATAGAAAAATCCAGTGACCTCATTGGGAATTGAACACGTGAACTTCCAGCATGTAGCATAGTGCATCAACCAACTATGTCACTGCGTGCCCCAATCTGGGTTGGGTACTTGTAACTTGTTAATATATTGTCAGTTACTGCATTGTCCACTTATGTTAATACATGCATTAGGCATTAAAAATTAATTTTTATGCTTTTTAATATAATCTCTGTGTTTTGAAGTTTATTTTTATTGTGTCCAGTGCATGTTCACAAAACTCACAATGAAGTGTAACCTGGCAGAGCATTGAGCTAACTGGGAATGATGGTGATAGCATCCACAGGAAATGAAATGGGTGCAGGCATGGCATCTGGGTCATATAAAGGCCTTACTTGTGAATCTGAGCATTATGATTTTAATTTAAGATTGCTTTACTTAGGGAATTGTAAGACCACTTTGTGACCTGCTGCACAAAATTTGATAACATTGTAAATCATGTTTGCACAAGTTCTGTAAATTTAGGGGCCATCTCCAAAATACACAGGCTAGAATAAAAAAAAACTACCTTGTGTGAGAAATTTGCTCATTTTTATTAACAGGAGATCAGCTGGAACTTTTGCATAGAACATGGATTTCCACTTCATTTCATGCTAAGGGAGAAACCCATCATACTGTTGCTAGAAGAGAGGAATAATGATAGGATGGACAAGTAAAGGGGATAGGAGAAAGGAGGGAAGGAGATAAAAGGGTAGAGGAACTGAAGATCAGGGATTAACATGAAGAGGAAGAGGAATGACAGTGGGGCAGACAAATAAAAGGGATGGGAAGGCAATAAGGCAGAAAGGAAAGAAGGAAGGAGAAAAGTTCAAGATATAAAGGAAAGGAAGAAAAATTGTTTTTACATCCTCTTTGATATAGTTATTTGCTGGTGATAGTATACGAAATAAGATGACAATTCCAAGTGTCATCACGAAAATTTTGGAAATCATGGTGTCCTGGCACTTCAGATTTTTGCAGTCCTGTTGTAAATAAAAAGTCTGGTTTGACCCCACAGTACTTTACTTTGAGAGGCTGTGCTTCACCAACAAGAAGTTTTGTTCTGTGCATGGAAGTGACTCTACATGGTCAGTAAACATTACAGGGCATACTTGGTAGTTATAAAATCTCACCATCATCATGCCTTGCTTTGCCAGGCGGTAAGTGAATATGCATGGCAGCCGATGTTTACTGTGGAAACTGAACGCAGGATGTTGTATCATTGTATATAAACAAACAAAAATTAAAATTAACTGTAACATTTTGTAACATTATTCTTTCTTTCCTCTTTTTTTTTTTTNCTCCTGAAATTGAAGCAGGAATGCTAGCCACTTGACTTTGACTAGTATGTGACAGTGTTTATATGGATTGGATTATATAATATTATTATTATATTATATTATTATATAAGGCAGAAATAATAATAAAAAGTGACCTACAAATTGTTACACTCGACGGACTTTCTATTAACTTTGTAAATGTATTTCAGTTGAAAGAAAGCTGCCCTTGTTCATTTGCAGTAGCTGAGGCAGAAAACAATCAACTAATAGAATAGAAAGTTACAACAGGGAGAGAAGACATACAGTCTACTGAAAATTGTTGTGAAGTATTACTTATAAATCTTACTGTGACAGATGTAAAGGGAATGTTTAAATCATTACAGGAAGCTCTAATGAAGGCATTCTGGAAGTCCTACAGTTAATCGAATAAGTAGACAATCCACATACAGCTAATCAAGAGCCAACTTTGTGTGAATTTCCTATAAAGTGTTTTGTTGAATTAATCCACTCAGCAGACTGGCAAAGGCGAAAACCAGTTTACCAGTTTTAATAAGCCTTTCTATTGGTGAATCATGTACAGTTTGTTGATGTTCTGTTAGTGAGGATCTGAAGTCGTTTTAACCATATTCTTCTGAACACACAATTTGTCATTACTTGGAGGATTGTGTTTTAGATATTGATTAAGTTGTCTTGATTTAACTTGAGGATTTTGTGGTTAATATTGCAGCGGGCAGATCAGAAGCGTCGCCTGAACCGGATATTGCTGCGTCTGCTGGCACGCCTGCCCGGCAAGCAGCCGCTGGACTTATCCTTCCTGCTGGAGCCCGGTCGCAGGCACCGCAAGAAACCCTCAATGCTTAACCCTTGAGAATGGCTCCTGTAAAAGGGGTTGGGACTTGCATGTTGATCTGTCCTCCTTCATGATGAGATTAAATTTTAACTTATTTTATGAACTCAGTTTTATTTATAAGAGAATGTGGGATTTTTTTATTTCATTGTGAGTGATGACAGATGTGAGGATGAAGGATGATAATTTGGTAGGGCTCTTTGATGATATGTGATCCAGCTGACCCAACCCCTGCCCCCAGATGGTGCAACTGAAATCAATGATTTGCAGTTATGTAATTACAGAGCTGGTCCATGTGCTTGTGTTATCTCTGCTGTATAGTTGGCCATTTTATTTGTATTAGTTGTCCATCCATCTGAGGGTTCTCTGTACACATTGCCATTCTCAAAACAGGACCATAACTTACACACCGAATACAAATACCAAACCAGAATGAGAATAACAGTGCATACCTTTGTGAAGTTGAAAGTTACTGCTTTCTGGGGTGTCATGCTGTGTAATTTGGTATATTGTACCATGCATGAGCAAGAATTACTTTTTTATGTGGGACAATAACAGATTTTTCTCTACTATAACAATTTTTTCACTGTAATATGAGAATTTGTAAAATTTTCTCGCAGTATATTAAAGTGTACTATTTATCCAAAGAATATGGATAGCTCAGTCAGTATAGTGATGGCTGTGTTCTGGATGACTGGGATTCGATTCCAGGCAGGGGAAAGATTTTTTTCTCTTCTTGATATACAGACCAGCTCTGGAGCCCATCCAGCCTCCTATCCGAAGGATACTGGGGACAATTTCCCCAGGGATAAAGCAGCTGGAGTATGCAGCTGACTATCCACCTCCATGTAGGTCAAGAATGGGGTAGCCATACCACCACTCCCTCATAGGCCTTCATAGTATTGTGCTTAATTAATTAAGCATGGGGAAAGCTTACCTTTTACTGCTTATCCCTTTGGGTATCAGATCCCATTTGAATGAACAGTTTTCATTAATTTAAAAAATTGGAATCTAGGGGTAGATGTTTTTTGATCATGGGTTGAAAGAAGAAGAAGAGGTAGATTTTATTCACAAGCTGATATATGCTAGTGTTGCCAGCCAATGTGATTCTGATGTATCATATAGTTCAGCAAGTGAAACAAATCAGTATTTAAATCAAGGTATTTTCTTTTCCCACGTCTCTGTAGAAAATTTTATGCGTGGATTTTCCTAATATTAACCAATGTTTCAGAAGATTACTACTTCCATCTTCATGGTATCTACCCAGAAACAGCACTGCATCACAGAAAACAGTAATCTTGATATCCATGACTGTAAGAACCCCATTTCCCTTTATGAAATTTATTTTATTGGGATAATGGATAGTGAAAAAACTCAGACTTATGTGTGACATCAAATAATCATTCCACAAGAACATGCTAGGTTGAAATAGAGACAGTTGCAGTACCTGGGTTATGAGATAAGGTAATAATCAGATTCAAGTATACTGCATATGTGCCAGAGCTCAGTTAACAACATGGAAAAAATACCTTGGGCTTTTTGTTTGGTAAGAGATATTTAATTTACATGTAGAGGGCTCTGTTATTCTGTCTTGCTCACAGTAACCGTTTTTGAATAATTCAGTAGTTTCTGAAAGTCCTCCTACTTTATATGATTTGTTGAAGTAAGGCCAGAAATTTTGTAACAAGTTTGTGATAACAAAATTGTAGATTTTTTAGATTACACAAGACGTTTTTCAGTAACAGTATTGTAGTCAAAAACTATATTGGGTAGATGTGAAAAGTGGTCTTGTATAGTGTAATCAGTCAGTCTCATCACAGGCACCCTTTTCCTGTTCAGGATGCTTGACAGCAGTTGATGAGTAACAAAGTTCAGCTCTAGAACTGTACTGCTGTTCATCCCAACCTTCCCCCCCCCCCATTCCTATATGCCTTTCTAAACTGACATGGTGTTGTCACGTGTTTGGGCGACCAACACACGGGTTTGGATTGGTAATTGGATTTATTTACAACCTACAGGTTGTAACTACAAAAAACTATTACATGCTTGCTGATCTACACAATTTATAATCACTCCACACTAATCTCAACCTTTTCCCACTAGTCTTCACTCTTCGCTTCCTGGCAACGGATTTATAACACGAGAACTGTAAAAGTCTCACTAAATTACACACTTCCAATCACACTGCACTATAGCACACATAAAGTCTTCAGTTCACAAGTTAACTCTTCTTTAGATCCAAAGTTCTCTTGCTGTCTCCTACCGAGAACTCAGAACTCTGTCACTTACTAGTTCCAATTCACTCACTCGCATGCTTCCGCCACTACTCTTTAGTCACTTATGTAGCTGAGGGACGGACATTGACCAACAGTAAACACATATCAAGTAACTGTTACCCACTGTTGCATGTGCGTATAGTGTTTACAGAGATGTTGCCTCTCAACATGTTGATCAAATATGACACAGTATCATTGTTACTTTTAATATTTCCACCCAGGACTAGATTGACTGTTCCAACCAGAATGGTTACCTACATTTTGGAGGAACAAAAGTTGCTTCTGAAGATGGAGGCAGCAGGTTCCTCTGAAACATTGATAATAATCTATCAGATTACATCCCAGAAGATAGGAAAGTTCATACCCACTGTTACAAGAACCTCAGATCTCATATAGACTGCAGATGTTGTAACCCAGAAAATCACAGTTCACTGTGAGAATCTCAGACCTTATGTAAAGTCCATCCTTGGCCTTGTGGCCATAAAAATGTTTGTGTAAAGTGCAAGATCGAACATTTTCATGGAAAATGCATATATTTATCACAACAAGGCTGTACCCAGATATTTTTTTCGTGTAATCATATATATTCTCTTAGCCTTGCACATGTGAAACTCACTATAACAGAAATCTCAGTTTGATGTCTTCCATTGTGTGTCTGCAGTCATGGTGTGCACTGTTTTCCTCTGACTCGATTAAGTTGGCTGGACAGAGACCTATAACAGTAGCAGTCCTGCATCAGGTGCACATATTTGTGCAGGATATACTGAATATAGCTAAACCTAACAAAAGTGAACTTTATGTTTGAACACGGTACGATGTGGGCCAGTAATTTTCCAGAAATATTTTACACTGGGAACATGTTTTACCTCATAATGCAATTTGTTATATTGGCAAATGGATTTTACTATGTAACGCTGGTCTGGATGCTCCGTACATACCATATCAAACACACAATATTACTACTGAGGTGCCATATTGGCATGTAAAGTTAATATTTTTGTCTCTTACATGTCTCTTATTTCTCAAAACATGTTATTATTTTAATTTTTCTGCTGTCACTGATGTGATAACGTTGCGCGAAATGAGTGTGTATGCATGAGTGTGTGTGTGGGCGTGTGTGTGCATGCAGCGAGCATGAGATCACAAGTATGCCTCGTGCATTCTGAAGTAATTTAAGGTAAACAAAGTACAAAATTGATGTTAAAACTGTACTGGTTGAAGATGACAATGTTTGTGTCTGGGACGCATTCTGAAATTTTAAATGATTGTTTGGCTTAAAAAGAGTTTTTTAGGCCACCTCATCAAATGTTTCTTACTGGGGAGAGAAAGTCTATTTTTATGCTAGTCACAAAAAAGAAAGTGGGAACTATTTTTCTGCATGCCCAAGTTGTCTCATAGTGTTTCATATGAAATCTGGCGTGGCCAGGTGTAATTTTTTTTATATTGTTAATCCAGTGCAGTGTATTGAGGCATATGACACGTGTGGGAGTATTTGCACAGTATGAGATACTGTAGTGTTGTAATTTATTTGTACAGTTTCCTGGCTGAGTATCCGATACTCGTGTTTTGGTGTTCTGGTGTACAGGTTACAAGCCAGAAGTTCAGAGCATATGTGGAGGGATGTACATAATAATAATTACTCTGTGCTTTTTAGCCAATGCAAACTTCATCTCATCTTAGCTATTAATGGGATATTCTTTTTCATTTTAATGAAGTAAATGGCACATGTTGTATGTGAGTGTGGGAGTAGAATGGCATGCCAGAGACCATTTGAATGTATCACATCAAGAGCAATATGTAAAATCCCCTTCCACCATAAATGTGGTCTCAAGTGAAATTTCAGGTTAGTGGCAATGACAGATGATATTGATACTGTTGATGACAATGTAGATGTAGATGAGGAGGATTACTTATAAGCATAATTATTATATCAATAATAATATAACAGCAGCAACAGAATATCAGGTAGTACTTATTTAATTGTATACATTCCAGTATTAGTGCTGCAAACTGTTGCAAGTCCCTCCATCCATCTGTATCCATGTTTTAATTTTCAGGCTCAACACCTCCTCGTCACAATTTACACACTGGTTCATTCAGTTTGAAATAAATTTGTCTTCACATAGAAATGTACAGCTTCATTTCCTCCTGTAGGTCTCTCCTGTAGCTCAACTTAGAAAGGCAAGGTTTACCTTGAGAACTTAATAGTTGCTCAGCTGATCAAGACAATCCCTGCTTTTATGGAATCCAAATGTTCATTACACAAAAGCCTATATGCAGACCTTGTTGTATGCCTGTTGCACCCTGTCCCCAACGTCATGGCTCTTTCCTCGCGGCTCCATTCCTTAGCATCCATGATGCATCTCCAGATACTCAGAACACTGGTTGTACCACTACCTGTGAACATCCTTTCTGTGACTAGTTTTAAAACGAAGAAAGCAGTGTTCTGGGATTTGACACCGTGTGTATGTGGTGTTAACCAACGTTTCGGAGGAACATATCGCCTCCATCTTCAGGGTAGAAGGAAAAATATAAGAAATCCACAAGTGAAGAGACCGTGAGAACCGGTAAAAGCAGACTGTGGATTTCTCATATTTTTCCTTATACCCTGAAGATAGAGGCGATACGTTCCTCCGAAATGTCGGTTAACACCACATATACACGGTGCCAAATCCCAGAAGACTGCTTTCTTCATAGTCACCGCTGTGAAAGCCTCAAATCTTACATAGTTTTAAGATATTTTGTATGTGAAAAGCTGTCAGAAGCAAAAATCTGTCATTTATTTTCCGTGAGTGTTACATCTGTAACGGATTTTTGCAGCAAATGGAACTGAAGCAGTATGTTGCACATGTTTTGGATATGATGCTTTGCAGCATGGTAGATGGGTACCACTTTAGAGGAAAAATAGAAAATGGAGGCAGAAGGTCTTGCATAGTGTCAATACTTTTCTACATCTTTCGTTCTTTTGCCCTGAAGGTGATATTCCTCTGAAACATCAGTACTCTTCTATGTCTTTGTACAGTCTGAAGATGGAGGTATCAGGTTCCTCCAAAATGTTGGTACACATTTATACTTGTCCTGAAGAGGAAGGCAGTAGATCCCTACTTTGAACAAATTACATGGTGTCTTATCGCACAAGAACATTATCTTCTGTTATTTTGTTGTCACATGGGTGGCCTGATAACTGTTTTATTTGAAGAAAGAATAACATTGCTGCAAATTCTTGCTTGATACACTTCATGCAAGACCCTGGCAAAATACTGCACAGTTTCCATTAGAGGCTCAATGGAACATTTGCTGAAAAGTTTGATTTTAGGTGTTATTTTAATGACAGTTTCAGTATCTGAACTGTGTAGTGTTGAATGGCAGGATGACTTGTGAATTGGACAGGATTTTAGAGGACGTGATTATGCCCTAACAGAAGTATTATTCTGGCATTTGCCTGGAGGGACTGAGGAAACCCATGAAAATCCTGTATCGATGGCCAAGATTCAAACTGACCGCTTCCAAGATGCATTACTGCTGGACCTACCTGCTTGGTCTGAAAGGTTTCATTGTAAATGATTTTGAAGGAAGTTTATAGGATCCAGAAACAGTGAAAGTTCTGTGCATCATTAGGTAGGATTTGAGGTTCTCACAGCAGCAGTAATGTAACACCATGTAGTCCATTGAAAGTCAACTTATGTTTAAGAGGAACATGTCGCTTCCATCATCAGGGCTTAAGAGTAAACCAAGCAAGGGCCTAGCCTGAAGCAGGCAGCAGGCATGCTCCAAGTATATAGTGTTGTGAGGTACATTAAATTATGGAGGATGGAACATTATCTTTCTGATGTGCTCATACGGTAATTGGCTATAGTAAAGCAAAGGAAACAATTGCATAAGCATTTGACAATAGTTACTATGCGCACGTTGTATTACACTCAGTGGAATACTTGAAATAAAACGTTGAGATTCAAAACAATAGAAAGCAGTACCCTCCTAGGTCATGGGATAGTAGTAATGTTTATTAGTGGCCGAGCTGCCGATACCCCTTATGCAAAGTGGCAAGTTTCCAAAGTCCAAAGGAAAGCGAACAATAAGAGTTCCTCAGATCCGCTCAGGTCTACTCTGAGCTAACCGGAACATCATAAGTTGTTCCTGGATTTCATTGGTTTCCAGGGTTAGACAAAACATGGCTGCAATGACAGTGTTGGATAGTGAAACGAAGCGTAAATGTTTTTTTTCGTCTTTTTATTTCTTTTCTTTTTAATAGTAATGCGTTCAAGGTGTCCGGGTTTATGTGAGATAGTGAACAGATTTTAAGGCTTATTCACGGATTTTGTATTTATCAGGGTTTTAAAAGAAAAGTGCAAATAATAATTGTTTTGTCCAACTTTCAGTTAGAATTCTGGGGATGGCAGTGTTTATAGTGAATTGTAAGTTAGTGATCGAGTGCGGTGCAGTAATTCATCCGAGAATTTGCATATAAACTGCTACATTGACTTAGCCGTTTCAGAAGAAACGTCGTCTAGTCAGAAGAAATGTTAGAAAATGATGTTTGACCCTTGTAAGTTACACGGTTTTCAGCCCTAACCTGTTAAGGGGTAATAAATTTACGTTCTTGCAATGTGCAACAAGTCAAGGACTCAGCTACATGTTACCTTGTAGTTTGCATTGTATTAGTTTCCGTTCAAGAATTGTAACGTTTGTGAATTAAGTTTGCAACATTTGTAGTAAAATTACATGAAGTGACTGAGTTTTGGTGTGTATGTAGACGTTATACAGAATTCTTCAGGGCCTAATGAGGGTAAGGTTTACATAGTTGGGATGAGGGACATCATCTCTAGCCCTGTGGATCAAGGGTCATACTTGCATCATTTAAAAACAGAGCAGAGCTTTTACTGCATTTTGTATTTCATCTACTCTTGGTCTGAAGTTACATAGATCATCAAGCAGCATAGGTACATTTGTAAGTTTGGGATGATAAAATAAAAGTAATTTTATCATCAGTGAGTTATATATTATTTCAGCAATAGTAGTACTTGTTTTGCATTTAGAATGGTATGATGGTGACTGGGAAGACTTCTAGGTCAAAATATTCAGCAGATGTTCTCACTGAGGTGTTTTTGGTGATGATAATTGAGCTAGTAATTTGATGTAAGAATGTACATCTGTTAATCTTATATTACTGAAATTGCATATGGTGTGCAGATAAGTGCTTCATGTATAGAAAATAGCAATAAGGTCTTTTGTTTATTGACAGTTTTTTAAATATGATCATAAAATTTTACAGAAGCAAATACATAATCAAATATTCTACATCATAAATATTAGTGGGTTGAGATTTGACCGGAGATTTATTACCCTGACTGAGGATTTCCATTGTTTTCCATAGTGCCTCAAATAAAGAAACTTGCTTCCACATCTTTTCATTATTCATCTAATTCTCAAAATTTTAGTTTGAACCAATGATAATGTTGCTAAAATGGGTAATGAATAAATATATTAATTGTTATTGGTGGAATGGTTGGGCTAAGTCATTCGCTCACTCACTCACTCATGGTCCTGAGCCCTTCTTGAGAAGCTGCCAATTGTGCAGCTACTCAAGAACTTCCCAGCATGTTATGGAACCTGAAAGTTCAATACCATATTCACAAAAGTCCTCCACTGGTCCCTATCCTAAGCCAGGTCGATCCAGTCCACAACATTCCATCCTATTTCTCCAAGATCCATTTTAATATTGTCCACCTAACTACGTCTTTGTCTTCCTAGTGGTCTCTTTCTATTTGCCTTTCCCACCAATATCCTATATGCATTCCTCTTCTCTTCCATTCATGCTACATGCCCTGCCCATCTCATCCTCTTTGGCTTGATCGTTCTAATTATACTTGGAGAAGAGTACAAGTTATGAAGCTCCTCGTTTTCTCCAGCCTCCTGTCACTTCATCTCTTTTCGGTCCAAATATACTCCTCAAGACCCTCAGTGTATGTTCCTCCCTTAATATCAGAGACCAAGTTTCACACCCATACAGAACCACAGGCAAAATTATAGTTTTTTATATTCTAATTTTTGTGTTCTGGGGCAGCAGATGGGAAGAGAAAAGGTTCTGAACTGAATGGTAGCAAGCATTACCCAAGTTCAGTCTCCTTTTAATTTTCTCCTGAATCAGGTTTTGATTTATTATTGTCATTCCCAAATATCTGAACTGTGCCACATTTTCAGAACATCTGTTACCTAATGTCATGATTTTGCCCTGTATTTTGATGACAAGACTGGATTCTCTGTGTTTAGTTCTAGACCAGCCTCCTTACTATTGTCATAGTTTGTGTTTTTCTTTATGGTATCTGTATGATCACCCAGTAGATTCTACTGCATTTAATTTCTCGATGTTGAACCTCTCCATATGAACACTGCATTGTTCTTTTACTCACTGCCAATCTTTTCCTAACTTTTGCCACCACCAGGTGGTGGTCAGTATCTGCTTCCCTGAATGATCAGACATCAAGTACAGTTCAGTGTCATCTCCTATCTATCAAATTTGGTTGTCCGTCTTCCCATCAGGAGATGCCCAAGTAAATTTTGAATGTTACGATTTTGGAACGTCATTTATTACTCAACTTATATTATCATTATTAATTTCATGTAAACTCTCATTCCCAATCATTGGTTTGAAAATGTCTTCCCTACCTACTTTGGCATTGAAATATCTTAACAAAATTTTCATATGGTACTTTGGGAATTTATCAAATACATGTTCTAGTTCCTTGTAGAACCTGTCCTTTATGTAAGATTTGAGGCTTTCACGGTGGTGACTATGAAGAAAGCAGTCTTCTGGGATTTGGCACCGTGTATATGTGGTGTTAACCGACGTTTCGGAGGAACGTATCGCCCCCATCTTCAGGGTAGAAGAAAAAAAAGTATAAGAAATCTGCAAGCGACAACACCGTGAGAANATCCCCTTTCCATAGAAAAATGTGCATTTGCCTGCTGGTTTGGTGCCACCTTTGTCCCATCTGACCTCCTGTACTCCTGCTAAATCCACCTTATATTTTGACATTTCTCCTGCCACTGCCCTGAGCGAACCTGCTCCATACATACTTCTAACATTCAAAGTACCAAATTTCATATCCATTTTCTTTTGCTTAGGTTGTTTATCCGCAGAATCCGCCCAGGTCTTAGGCTTCTTGAACATTTTCATAACAAGCTTATTTTTTATGGTGAGGAGGAGTTACCAGGATGTAGGACCACCCCTTGTCATCTGTCCAAGACTGCTTATTCAAAATATTTTCATCTACCCTCCATACCTGGAGAGCATCTCCTCAATCTGCAACCTGAGGACACACCATGCTGTGGTGACAAGGGACCCACCTAACATGGAAATTACAAGATGCTGGGAAAATTTAGTGTTTATCTGTGTTGGTCCATTATAAACCCTACTTTGCATGGAGTCCAGATTACTTTGTCAATTTCAAAGAAATACCTCATTGTAAAAAAAAATGAACCGATGTATGACAAAAGTTAGACTTTAAAGTCTATAACTTTATTTAAAACAGTTTTTGACAAGATGGTTATTTAATGAAACCCGAGGTTGTGATATTCTGTCTGCGGTGTGATAAACTTTGATTAAATAAGTGATATTTGAGGTCGTCAAAGCAGTGATTATGAAGAGTTTTGTCTTCTGGGATATAATGCCACATAGTTTGATAAAAGTCAACAGTCAACTGATGTTTAAGAGGAACATATTGCCTCCATCTGTAGGGTCAAAGCGCAAGATACCAGTGTTAAAGAAGGTGGCAAGCAGAGGACAACATGGCACTGAATCCCAGAAAATAAACTCTTTTGCAGCAGTAAGTCTATATCTGCAGTAGTAGATTTTATCTGCAATCTGTGAATATCGGTGCCAGTCAGATGCAAAATCACAGCCACAAAGAAAGTATTTGGAAAGTATGAATGTTGTGCAAGTGAAACCCATTTGGGGATTGTTCTGTGGAAAAGTAGACAGATAAAGATCGTTAGAAATAGTCTATGTGGGCATTGAGGCAGGTGTCCAATTGATATGCTGGTCAAGTGACTCCCCTCTGAGAAGAAATCCCAGGGTTGATGCTGGAACCACTTCACAACTATCACCGTGACATCTTCATCCAACCCACATCTGTAGCCCTATAATTCTCTCTTGAATGGGCCAAACCCATGGAGGTCACATGGTGATGCTCCTGGGTAATATGAGGATGGTCCAGCACATCCATGTCCTAGACATTCTGGGCCACATGGTGGTGAGCATTCTTATGCAGCATGATGGCACTCATGAGTCTGCCAGGATGCTCTCTATCATGGTGCTGGTAGAGAGGTCTTTGAGAATGCCACAGTAGTGCTGTGAGCTGATGGTGATGTAAGGGTTTTTGAATGCCAGGTGTAGGTTAAGTCAGATGGAAATGTGTAAGCTGTGATCGTGTAGTAGTCCTGGCCATCAGCCTGGAGAGTTCTCTGCAGAGAGGATCATTAGCTGGTGCATAAATGGGACTCTTGCTTCAATGGTCATGGGGACTAATTATGATGACCTCTGCTCTTTTGAGCAGAACAGCCCCCGAATTGGCATGCCATATGTATGCAGCCATAATAATTGTGTGTGTGTGTGTGTGTGTGTGTGTGTGTGAAATTCTAGAATTTGAAATTTATATAAACTGTGAAGCTGTTTGCAGCCTTTCTGAAACAAACCACTTGTTTTTTTCTGTTTGAAATCATTTTACGTAGACAAATAAGGCCATGAAGATAAAACTCCATACATTCAAGACCTCAGTATTAGATGAATATTACTAATGAAATCAAATCAAATTCATTACTAATGAGTTTTTGAGGTGTGAACAGTTTGTTATTGAGAAAATAGCCCCAGTTCTTACAGGGAAGGAGGGTGGGTGACATCCTGGAGCCAGCCTGAATGTCATGGCCAGGAAAGAACTTTGAACCTAATCACAGACGGTTCAGCCCGTGGGCAGTCACTTTTACTGTCCCAGCTCATATTAAACAGATGTAATCAGAAGAGTGCCGTCTGCTGGATTGTAGTGCTGTGTAGAACAGCAGAAGTCTGCCAATAATTTGGAGCAACAAATCACATCTGTCGTCAGGGTTAAACAGTCTATGCAAGAAACCAGCAAAGAGCAGGCTGCATTAGCTTTTTGCTAGTTTCTTGCTTGGCTTGCTTATCTACCTTAAGATGGAAGCAACCCATTCTTCTGAAATATCAGTGAGCACTGAATTACACAGCGTTACAACCCAGAAGATTATACTCCTCATAATCACTGTTGTGAGAACCTCAGATCTTACCTGTCATACAAAAAGGTAAAGTTGTCCCTGTGCTTAACTAATTAAGCATTACCCCATGAAGATGTATGGGGAATTGGATGTATAGATCCACGTTTTCTTAACCTCAGCACTAGCTGGAGGTGAGTGGTCAGCTTCATACCCTAGCTGCTTTATCTGTGGGGAAAGCGTCCCCAGTACCTAAAGGCTAGGAGGCTAGATGGGCCTCAGAGCTGGTCTGGACGACATGGAGAAAAGATTCAAACTCCCGCCCCTTAGTCATCCATCATGTAGTGAGTCGCTCTACCAACTGTGCTATCTCAGCTCCTCTTACATGTCATTTTAATTAACTAACTAAAATTTTGATGATATGGTATTTTGAATGTGATGACTTATTCCTTGCAAGTTATGCTGAATTTTAGACCAAGACAAGTTATGTGTGTAACTGCCTCCTTGCCAGCAATTAACTGATACAGTTCTTATGTTAATTGCTGAAAATTAGGAACTCTGAAATAATGAAACATAATTATGATGGAGAGGAAGACCATTTCACATGTATATGAAATGTTTCTCAGTCTTTGGTAATTCTGCAGACATAGTTTATATTGTTGTTTGACTGTGATCTATTAATTGGATGCAATTTTAGACATATGCCTGTCTAGCAGGTGTGAAGGCATTGTTGATTATGGTGCTGTTCACACATGGTATGTAAATTATTTTGTAATGTAAGGAGTGCTGCAAATGGGATGATTTGTGAAATTTTTGTTTTTCATATTGTTTTTATTCTTTAAGTTTTGACTGTATGAAGATTACATCTGTTGTGAAAAAGACATTGATAACGAAGTTTAGGATGAGTAATGTTTAAGTATAGCTTATTAAGTTCTAAATTTGTTTTGTTATTTTGCATAGGAAACAGTACATGCCATGTAGAGAGTCACAGGCATCATTTATAAGGTGATTGGGGTGTACAATAAAAATTAGTAAAAGAAGTAAAGCTATCCCTGTAACAGGCCGTGAAGGCCCATAGGGTTGTGAGACGTTGAGGGTCCCACATTATCTAGACAATCGGCTCAAAGATGGCGGTAAGGTTGTCAGCCTTATGTGCTGGCCGTGCTTTACTCCCCAGGAAAATTATTTAAGTAATCCCTCATACTCATTTCTGTTAGATTTTTTTAACATATTGTAACGTGTTTCGTTACAGAATACGCCGTAGAGATCGTTAATTGGTTTATTCAACAATCTACAAGAAACGGCTACAATTAATTATAACACAGTTGCGGGTTTCCACACTTTACAAACCCTACAACCAAAGTCTTCGCGTACTAATAACGCGGGAGCTATACAAATCTCCCTGAATTACACACTCCCAATTACACAGTGACACACATGTCTGGTTCTTCTTTCCGCGATGGCTGCTATACTCCAACTCTGCTCACAAGCTGCTGCCTTGAGGACTGTTCATAACACACTCTGACTCGTAGGCTTGCTCGGAACTAACTCGTAGGTAGCTCGAGCACTAACTCGTAGGTAGCTCGAGCACTAACTCGGAACTGTCTTCGGCGATGGCCACATTACAACTAACTCGCAGCCGCTGTGCAGCTCACTTATATAGCTGCAGTGCTTGCCTGTTGCGTAATGAGTGCCACGTCATCCTGTTACGTCACCGCTGTTGACTCGCGTTGCATAGCTACCAGGTTGCGGGGGCTCGGCTAACTTCGGCTCCACTCGTGACGTCACCGTGGGGTGATTGGCGGGGTGATGACTCGCCTATTACGCGAGCGCTACGTTACCGCCACGTGCCGCTGGGGAGGTAGGGTCCTCCGTTGCGCAACATGTCACAATATTGTGACATATTTGCTCAAGGAAGAATTGTGAAACCAGAATAGATGGCTGTTGCTAGGCACTTGCTGAGTAGTGATCACATGGTCACCCCAACAGACCCGATCGCAACAGTAGAGCAACTGTGGGAAGTGGTATTTTCTATGCAGGCTGTGCCAGGATCTTATAGGCAGGACCATTTGGCTGTTGCAGTTAGTTGAGGAACTGCTGAGGTTCAGTTTTATGGAGCTGTTGCTGTTAGAAGCTGGCAGCTGAAGTTGGGGACAGTTTAGGAATCCAGAGGAAAGGGAGTGTCTATCATTGGAAGCCGCTACCAAGCAATGGCAGTAAAGACGTAACTGTGGACACTGATGTGTGTGTGTAACGGTGAACTGTAAAGTGTAGTCATGCTCTGTATCAAAGAGTCCAGTAAATCTGGTCATCAATCCAGAGCCCATCTAGAGTCACTCTGTTGTGTGACAGTATGTTTTTCTGCAGAAAAAACTGTTTTTTTCTTTGGGGGGGGGGAGCAAGTGAATATGTATGTTGATGAGTAGGTCTTGGAAACACTTTTTAAATTCTGGTCATCAGGGAGGTTACATATGTGTTATAGTAGTGTGTAAGTGACAATTGAATGACAGTGAATTGTAATGTAGAAATGCACAACTTCAGTTTGGATAGTTGTTCTGACCCTGCTTTAACTGGGGACCTTCTGAATGCAAAGCAGGACTGCTGACTGATACACAGTGGTATTTGGCCATTTTTTCTTGATTGTCTTACATTGTTGTCAGTAAAGTTTTCCCTCTGCTTAACTAATTAAGCACTATGCCTTGGAGGCGTATGGGAGAGTGATGTATAGATTCGCTGCTTTTTGACCTCGACAATAGTTTGAGGTGAGTGGTCAGCTTCATGCTCTGGCCACTTTACCCCTGGTTCCTTTTGGACAGGAGGCTGGGTGGATCCCAGAACTGGTCTGGACCACATGGAGAAGAGAAAATTTACTTGGCCTTACTGAGACCCAAACTCCAACCCCTCAGCCATCCAGTCCATATCTAGTAGCTACACTAACTACACTATCCTGGCTCAGTATCACATCGTAGGATGACTGGTGAAGTGGAAAGGCTTTGGCAGTGGTCATGGCCTTAATTGAGGTACATTTGCCTAGTTGGACAGGAGAATGACGAAAAACTAAAGTCAGGTGTTGTGGCTGAGATTTGAACAAAGCACCTCTGGAATATGAGTCTAGAGTGTTGCCCCTACATCGGACACACAGCGGGCTTCCTTCAAGGACTGACTGCAAAAACAACCATTAGAATTAAATAGGAATCAGCTAAGGCGGTCGACAGGACTACTTACAGGGTGCAGTCACTTGGAAGGGTGTGTTTCAAATTGGACTAACCAACAACCCATTTTGAAAGATGTGTAGGCAAAGATGAAACAGCCACTCATGTCACATATGACTGTGAGGCCTTAGGTAATTTAAGATGTCAAAATCTGCGATGTGATATCATGGAACCAGGTGACTGCATACCTGCCACATGAAGCAAAGCCCTGCACTTCATTCAAAGTATAGGACTGTTATGGGACTAACTAGGAGGAGTCATGCTATAGATTGAAAATGGTTGTATTGTGAGGGCCTGTTTGGATCATTCCTTGTTCATTTATTTATACAGTCTTACTGCTATGTCAGTGTACTCCATATGTTTGGTTACTCTAGATTACAGCAGTAAAAAGTAAAGGTATCCCTGTAACAGGCCATGGAGGCCTGTAGGGTTGTGAGATGTTGTGGTTCCCACATTTTCTAGACAATCAGCTCATAGATGGCAGCAAGGTTGTCAGCCCTACGCACCTGCTGCCCTTTACCCCCAAGAATATTCCTGGTACTCATTTCTGTTAGAGGCTGAGTCAACCCCAGGGCCATAGTGCAGCTGGAAGGATTAGGTCAATTGAAAAAATCCAGTGACCTCATCGGGATTTGAACCCACGACCTTCCGGCTTGTAGCATGGGACCTCCACCAACTATGCCACTGTGTGCCCCAAAATTACAGCAATAGAAGTAGAAATTAGAGTTGTGAGATGTTAGAGGTTTTATATGAATCCTGATCTACGTTTCAGAAGCATATTTGCTGAGATCAAGCGTCTGCTCATGATGATGAAGTTGCATTCAACATCCCATCATGGATGAACGTCGTGTGGCAGATTACTTTGTTGTCGCAGGGTTGCCTGACCAGCCTGAGCCTCTAGGAGATTTGTCACGAGATGGGGCTCATCTTAAGGCAACCTTCAACCAAGCACCCATAACAGATGTGACTGTGATATTTCCTGGTTTGGGAGAAGATATTCCCCCAGGTTACCATATGATAGACACCACACCAACAGGTAAGGAATGTACATAGTACTGTTCAGTTGAACACCACATTTTAAACAGTTGCTTCAGCTGAATTTATAACAGGTGTTGGCACAGTTTGAAGGTGCAGGAGATGAAGATTCCGGCGACTATTCAGTTGACATTTCTGTTGGCAGCAGCATTTGATGGAGTACAGTTTTCTTCATGAATATCTCTTTTTATGTTTTTCATACTTCATTGCAATATTGTTTTATGAAACCAGTAAGCAGTACCAGATGCAGTTCTTGTACTGTAATGCTTTAAATGTTTGTACTCTGGAGATCGTACTATAGCTGAGTGAACCTACTAAAAATATGAATATAGCCTCAGATATTGTACTTCATCCTTTGGGGATAACTGTTTGAACTGTGCATGCCCCAGCTGAAAGTAAAATGATGTAAAAGGATAGCTTAGTAGTTATGTTTACCAAGTAACTTTAAAACCTTTACTGCCATGTTATCCACCACATTAGCAATGACAATTATAGAAGTATAGTTGTAAAAACAAAACCCAAGCCTAACCTTAGAGGGTCTGTGAATATTTATTTTTAATAATAAAATGAAAAAACTAGCCTTTTAAAAATGAAACCAGAAGTCTTACATTTCAAAAACACCACCAGAAGTCTAACCTTGTTGATGTGGAGGCAAATTGTAAGGTTGGTCTTAAGGTCTTGATTTGCAGAGAAATTTTGAAGGTTTGCAATGTGAATATAGCACCAAGAACAACTGGGGCAGTATTTCGTCAAATGACCTTCAAAGAATCACAGGTATAGATGCGATTGAAGTCTGTTCTTTACTCCAGACATTGATATATCGCACTTAATATCATCTGTTGTCAGAATTGTTGTACTCAGTTAACATCAAGACAATCTTTTCACTTGTGACAGTTTTAATGAATTCTTGCTGAGCCAGTCTTACCAGCTCATGGCTGCTGAAGGGTTGTGGTAGTGGATTTCTTAAGTTGGAAGGAACATTTCATTTTGATTTGTATTGGTGTGATATAACTTGTGCTTTACTTGAATCCCCAGTGAGGCTTTCATAATTTTCATAAGGGTAGTTCAAGGTACAAAACAAACAAACTCCGTGATTTCAGTCCGCAAGCGAACTATACTGACCGAGCAACCGCCGCTTCTCAGCGAAGTTTAGTGCCGACTTTTGCGGATAGAGGGTGTTGCGTGGTCAGCACAATAAATCCCCACGGCCATTAATTTCGGTTTTCTAGACCAGAGCCGCTATTTCCTTGAAATAGCTCCCCAGTTATCATCACGAGGCTGAGTGGACCCCATTCCAGACCCACCACTTCTCCGAAAAAATCAAGTAAACCCGGACCTCTGGATCTGTAGCCAGGAACCAAATAGTATACATAACACAAAGTATATATGTCATTAAAATCTACAACTTTTATTTGTAAAGTTGTTGATGTACTTAATATTTAATAAAATACAAGGAAAATTTTCTGGCCCAGTGGATTGTGATATCTGTAGTGTAATTAGATTTAACATGTTTGATGTTAATGGTAATAAATGAATGTCAGTACCAATGCAGTACGCATAATAACAAAGAATGAATTTGAAAACGTGTGTATACTTCACTAGAGCAGAGTTTTACCTTATGTTTTTGTGACAAGAACACAGATAATGAATACTGTTGCATGCTTCAAGGACATTTATGGCCTCAGTAGTTGTAAAAAAGTTGAAGTAGTCATTTGATCCTTTGCAGTAGGTCAAGGTTGGTTTCTACAAACAGAATAGCATGACATTAATTGTTTTTCCAAACTTCCTTGATAGATTTAAAACTCGTTTTTATTCAGCAGTAATTAAATTCTGAATATTTGATTGTGGGAGCAGAAGTCCACTGGATTGTATGAACAATAAATAGTCATAAGGCATATTGTCTCTGCTGCCTGTATGTAATCTGCTTATATTGCTTTTAGTTCACATCCTGCCCTCAGAATATGCAAGAGACTATTCTGTTTATGTGCTTTAAACCATTGTGTATTTGCACTAATACCAAAATATTTTGGTCCAGGTTTGGAAGCAGATCTGAATCATGGGAGCCTAAGGAGCCCTCAAGTTTACCTCTGTTATCGCAGAGGTCGAGACCGGCTACCCCTTGTTGACATTGGGTAAGATATTAGTATTCAAAGTTGCAATGTAATAATTATGAATCACAGAATAATTTGCTGATGTAAACAGCAACACAGCATACTTTGTAACACTGATGCGGTGCCTGTCTGCAAGGTTTGTGCCATTGCCTTCAATCCGAGATTCTTCCTGCCATTCTGGATATAACATTCACACACATGGAGCATCATGCCAGTCTGTATCTCCAGGCAATCCAAAACCAATTTCAGCATTTCATGAACCCTGGCTCTACCTGCACCAAAGTGCATGCTTGCTAAGTTTCATTTTTATCGGCAAATTATTGCATGATTTATAATTAATAATTTTGAACCTTGTCTGAGTGAATCACCCTGTAGATCTCCTACATTGTTGTGGTTATGCTGTTGTATGATGCATATTCTACTCAGACTGATATATAATTTTCATTTTCTTTCTTAGTTTATTTATTGACACTGCACAGCTCATGCACTTACAAATGTTAGCAAATTATGAATGATGAAGAGGATGTGGAAGGATGTGATTGAGCATTCAGTACTTCAAGCTCTGTTGTAGCATTTGCGTGGAGAAACTGAGAATAATAATAAATAATTTCAAAATTATGGTCTTCTGTTATCATGGTAATCCCATTTTTGGTACCACTTATTGCTTGTATCAGTGGGCTTAAATTAATTATGGTGATAACTAGAGGTAGGATTTTTATATAAATACATATTTATTTCTTAGTATGTAGGTGCTCAAAAAGTAAAAATCTCCATGAATTGCAGTATTAGCATTGCTACAGTTGAATTTTATTCTACATATTTTGGCATTTCCTACATATGTTATATAAAATTACATATTTTGTAATAGTTTTGTTTTACTTGCATTTTAAACTGGAAAGTGCCTAATTTTGTGTGTGTATCTTAGCTTAACAACTTACTAATAGTCTCCTTCACCCTTCCAAAAGACTTTTTCTGAAACGATGGGGAAATCCAAAAGGAGATGTCTCTTTTGTAAAGCAAAGTATACTACAACATCTGTGCATTGGGGATTTTTCTAAGAATTCAAATGGTGTTCCCTTGTATTGCAGTTAAAATCCCCTCCCCTCTCACCAAACATACTTGTCGACACCTAGCAACCTGCGTTCCTGTCCTGAAATTTGTTATGGTGATTTTAGTTTTGTGTGAGAAGATCATTGAGTTATTTCTTTATTGAAGATATTCCCGTATTACTTATTGTGTCGACGGTGGTAATATAAGCAATTAAATCTTGTCAGATACTTAATGGAGATTTTGTAGACAGATCCTGAGAAAATTTCTTTGTTAAAATGTGCACCAGCGACATCTTATCATGTAGAAAGATCTCAGCCTTCAGACAGTTCTGTCAGACAAGAGATAATCAGTGACCCCAGAAAATATGGAAAAGATTCTAATTGTGTGTTGTGCATCAAACAATCAACGATCGTGCCAAACGGTTGTAAATAAAGATTGTTTGCAAAACTAAATCTTACTTTTATGTGATGTTACAAATTTTAATGGATCCAAATATTTTGCCACATATTTCAGAGATTGTAACATAATTATGTACATATTTTGCATGATGATTCATTCATTCATCAGTAATCTGTCAGATGACAGGTCCACAGTCTCTTCCAAAACAGTTCCTTCACTTAATGCTATCTAGAGTGTTCTCCTTCAAATGAGAATATCCTCTTCTGTCCCCAAGGTCATCCAGCATCTTCTTACATCTTCCTCGTCTTCTGGTCACTTCTATCCGCTCATCTATCTTTCCTTCAATAACTTCTTTTAGAAGGCAGTTACCGCGTAAGATATGACCAATCCAATTAGCCTTTCGTTTTCTTATTTTGTGTAGGATATTCCTCTGCTCACTGACTCTAAATAACACTTCTTCATTTCTCACATCATAATAATCACATCACATAATTGGTCCAACTGATCTTCTCCATCCTTCTCCAACACCACATTTCGAAGCTTTCCAGGTGTTTCTGATCTACTGCCCTAAGTGTCCAAGTTTCAGCCCCATACAAAGCCATGCTCGAAATGTAGCATTTCACTAGTTTCTTTCTCAAATTTAAGTCCAATTGCTGGTAAAAAGATTCTTCTTGCTAAATGCAGTTTTTGCCATGGCAATCCTAGATTTAATTTCACAAGTACACCTTCCATCATCTGTTAACAAGCTACCCAAATATTTAAAACATTTCACATTCTCCAGTTGTTTTTGATCTATCTTTATTGTGACTGGGGTTGGTTGTCTCGAAATTTTCATTACTTTTGTTTTTCCACATTCATTTCCATGCCATAACACCTTCCAATTTTGATTAGTCTATAAATCATACCCTGTAGCACAGTTTCTTCCTTAGCCATTAACACAAGGTCATCTGCATATTTCACAGTTTGAATAATTTGCCCTCCTAATTTGAAGTCTCCAAGCCCATCCAGAGCTTCCTTGGTAAGGTATTCGCTGTGCACGTTGAACAAAATTGGTGATAAACAGCATCCTTATCGAACTCCTCTTCCAATCTTCACACTTCTTGTCTCCCCTCTGTCCATTCACACTCTAACTTTCTGATTCATGTACAGTTTACTAATGAATCTTCTTTCACGCCAGTTGATACCTGTTTCCTTTAGGATCTGCATTAATTTGGTCCAATTTACATGGTCAAATGCCTTCTGCCCGTCTATAAAGCAAGGACACAGTTCTTCATCTATCTCCAAAGTTCGTTCTGCTATAATTCTCATCATCCCAATTGCAACCCTCGTTCCGTTTCCTCTTCTAAATCCAAACTGATCCTCTCCAAGTATATCCTCTATTTTCCTTTTGATTCTTCTTTTAAGTATCTTTGCTATTATCTTTGCTGTATGTGCAATAAGGCTTATTGTGCGATGGTCACTGCATTTTGTAGCTTTTGTCTTTTTCTTTAAGGCAATCATTGTGCACCATATGACCTTGCAGGTTGCGTGTGGCCAAAATGCTGTAAGTTGAACAGGTTAGGACTAAAAGATAAGTTTCGCGCCCATACAAAACAGTGCATATACTTTTAGTTTTTTTTTTTTTTTTTTTATATTATAAATTTTACACACTTAGGTAGGAGATGGGGAGAGAACAGATTTTCCAGTGAACAGCAACAGCAGCAAAGTGTGATGATGCTTGATATATGTGCAGGGTGATGTATGAGGGGAAAGAAAGAATCATGTCAGACTCTGAAGTGGTTGAAACTACACCTGGAGGACGTGTTGCCAATGTAAACAACTCAGCAGCCAAAACGTTTGTCACATACCGACGTGCTCCTACCACCATGCCATGCAACGAACTTGTCGTGACAGACATCTGTGTGATCCTCGCCAGTAAAGGGGAGACTCCGCCACATGCCTTCTGCAGGATATCAAAGAACCTGAACAAAGGAATGGTATGTGCATTGTGTACTGGCTATCTGAGAAGGGCCGGGAAATTCTGGGGGGCCTGTTCATCCAGGCTTGTTCAGATTTCATTCTGGTGCCTTAATTGTTAAACTGATGTGCCTGAGTTCGGTAATAGTATTTTATCAGGGTGTATTGAATTCAGTTTTTAATATGTGTGAAGATGTATTGCGAAATTAATCCTTGTGTTGGTATAGTTCACTTGTGGACTAAAACCACAAAGTTTTTTTTTTTTTGTTTGTGTGTATGGGGGAGGGGGGGTTGTGTAAAAGAAAGTAATGTGAGAGTGAGGTGAAAACTCCAATGTTATCATGATGCTATCGTGGCAAGGAATTGTCACGCATTAACAGATGCATGAATATAAGTTATGTGTTATTTCATGAATGATGAGTAGTTTTTTGTTTCAGTGTATTGTGTCTATTCTGCGATTGTTCATAATACTGTCATGTGTAGGGTGATACGTGTGACAGGAATGACGGCTTCTAGTTCACATGATTGGATTTATTAGCACTTTGGTTACAACCTCTCTTAATCACACTTAAATACAGGAAATACAGTGCTATCACTGAGTTACACACTTTCCATTTCACTGATACACAAGCACTAGGATTCTCCCATCTTCACTAGTCATCTCCTGGCAACAGATCTCTACAGAAAGTAACACAGTCTCACTGAGTCACACACTCCAAATATTACACATAATTAAAGCTTTCAAATCACATGCTCCATTTTTGTCCCTGTACTCTCAACTGCTGAACCCTCCTGGACTTTGTCACTGTCACTTAAAAACTGAAACCTGTTATATTTGTAGTTGTCATTATATAGCCTCAGCATCGACCATGCATAAAACAGCCTCTCTTGTTGAAACCTGTTTATTGAACCATTACATAGCAGTGGTCGCAGCATGGACCCCACTGAAAGCCATTCACATGATAGCTATCTCGCCACCCCATCGGTTTGCTGACTATTGCCTAGCAACAAGCTATAAACATTTGTCCTGTTGTTGAGTTTGCTTACATGAAGAGATGTTTATCGTGCTATTGGCTATATATACACGTTATAATACTTTTATGTGGATGTGTTTTGTGTAGTGTACTATATGTACGAAACGGTTTATGAGTGACTACTTGTGTCTCTTATTTGTAGGAGATGGTGTCAGATGTCAGTGTTGATGTATTATTCAGTAACATGTAGGACCTGAACAGAGTACAGGAGTAACTGGAAAGTTAAGAGTATGAAAGTTTGTATGACGGATGATGAGACTTCCTTTCAATTCTCAACTATTGTGTATATAATTCAGTTTTGTGATTGGTTGTGGATGTGAATCTTCTCTTCCAGTTTTAGTTTATGTACCGCTGAAGGACCGCCTCTTTGTTCTAGTGGTCAGAGTTCTTGGCTATAGATCCAGAGGTCTGGGTTCGATTCCTGGCTCTACCAGATTTTCTGAAAAGTAGTGGGTTTAGAATGGGGTCCACTGAGCCTCCTGAGGATAATTGAGGAGGTAATTCAAGGAAATAGCAGCTGCAGTCTATAAAATCGAAATTACCAGCCGTGGGGATTCGTTGTGGTGACCACACAACACCCTCTATCTGTTAAAGTTGGCACTAATTTTGCCAACAAGCAACGGTTGCTCATAGTTTGCTTGTGAACTAAAACCACAGAATTCGTTTTTGGTTGTTTGTGGATGTGAATTCAGTTCATATCAATATAAAATGTCCATATGTAATGTACTCCCAATTAGCCATTCTACTGTAAGGGAAAAGATACATATGTAATCAGATGGCATGGATAACTGAAGGTGTAGCATGATTTGTTCTCTCTGTGTCCCAGATTACCTAACATTGAGGTACTGCGGCCATAAACACAATGGCAAAGTAAATTAAATTTTAATAAATTAAAGTAAGTAAGAAGTAACATAAGAATTTATTGCAATATTCTGAGCTGTAAAAATGGATCCTTGTAACTCTGTCATTCAATAATAATGTTGTTTTATTTATTTGTAAACAAATATGTACAAATGTGTTTGTAAACAAATAAATAAAATAAATTGTATATTGTATAAATTCTTATGTTACTTGTTACTTAAGCACATACATTACTGTACCACCTAAACCTACTTTGGCTTTTACTGTATTTGTTTTATGAAATAATGTGTATCTTGAAAATTGTGGGACTCATAAAATGTACGTTGTGAGTTTAAGTTCTAAGGTCTCCGATTTTTTTTCTCACACAATAATCATACAAAAAATTTGAAACTTCTGTCACTTTTCAACGTAATCTCCCTGCAGCCGTACACATTTTTCACAACGTCGACGCCATGATTCCATGGCCGCTGCGAACGCTTCTGTAGGAGTCTGTTTTGACCACTGGAAAATTGCTGATGCAATAGCGGATTGAAAAACGGCATCCATGTCTCATCCATTGTCACAGTTGAGGAAAAGAAAATCCCATTCATGCCTTCATCATTGCCATGCGTGCAGCCTTGTGGTCATCCGCCAAAATTCGTGGAACCCACCTGGAGGACACTTTCCGCATTCGCAGGTCTTCATGCAGGATTTTGTGCACAGATCCCACGGAAATGCCAACTTTGGGGGCGATGTTTTCCACACTCAATCGGCGATCCTCCAAAACAACTTTCTCAACTCGCTCGACCATGTTGTCAGACCGGCTGGTGCGAGGCCGAGATTGTTTTGGTTCGTTGTCACACGACGTTCGGCCTTCTTTGAACTGTCGCGCCCACGAACGCACATTTTTCACATTCATGACACCATCACCACACGTCTCACTCAACTGGCGATGAATTTCAATGGGTGTCGCACCACGCAAGTGGAGAAAACGAATGATTACTCGCTGTTCTTGTAACGAAAACGTCGCCATTTTAAGTATCAAAAACACTCCTCACAATCGCCACTACCACTAGAGTTCTGTGTGCCGTAGAGTTCTGCCATCTCTGTCACGCATTCACAAAGAGTGCACACGTATTTTAAACAAAACCGCATGTGTCTATCTGCTCCCAGTCCTGAGGAAAAAAATCGGAGACCTTAGAACTTGAACGCCCCTCGTATTGAATGTGAAAGTTTTATTCTTCTTTACATCATTCATGGGAGATAAGAGATACGCGTTCAGAGTTTTGTCCGGAAGACTTACATGTAGCCGGGAGAATTAATATTAAAATGGACCTTGAAAAAGTAATATGGGATGGTGTGGACTGGTTTCATTTGGCTTAGCATAGAGACCATTGCCAGGCTCACATGAACATGGTAGTAAACCTTTGTGTTCCACAAAATGCGGATGAATTTCTTGACTAGCTGAACAACTGTTAACTTTTCTGTAAAGACTGTGCTACATGGAAGATATTAAAATTATAAGGAAGTTGTATAGTTTATTTGGTTTGTATTGCAGGTGGGGTCTGATGTGTTTCTCTGTTACAAGAAGTCTATGAATCGTGCTAACCTGATACCTTATAAGCCAGGTGAGTGTTGCACTGCAGACCAGATTACTGGAGAAGTTGTAATTTTATGTCATCAGACTGTGACGCTGTTGAGCTCATGTAGTGTTGTTAACACATTCAGTGCCAGTCCTGTCACCTGATGGGTGTAACTTCACTGTGTGCCCCCCAAGGGACAGGCCATTACCACTGTGTATGTAAATGTCGTTTTCTTCTACTCATGCAGATGTCATTCAAATTCACTGTAACTTTTTGAATATCAAAAGAGTGTAAATGTACACTTCTTGTCATTTGTTTTTTCATATCTTCTCTTTCAGTTCTGTTTCAAATAGAGTAAATTCAAAATTCATGAAAAAGTGGTTAGCCCAGCTGGTAAAATCTCTGTATAGAGGCATGGCAGTGAATGTGTTAAGGTAGTCAAATGGAGCTGGGTGTGAAGGACTTGATATATAGCTTGACTAGGGCAGAAAGTGGTCATTTTGGAGAACAAAAAATAGATAGAAGGTTGAAACTACAGTGGATTCTTGTTACATTGTAATTCACATATTTAAAACTAATGTACCTTTTGATCTCCAACTGAAAATCTATACACAGTGTCCTTGAATTTCAGTTACTTTATGGTGTCATAGAGTTTGCTATTACATAGACAGGTCTCATATTCTGTGTACTGCATTTTGAATATTAGGATGTGTTAGTATGACTGATTTGTCTTTCATTCATTTTCATTACTTTAATTACTGGGGATTTCACAGAAACTGCCAAGGTGTCTACCCAATATATAATAGTGGCATTTCATTCTAAGCACATTAAAGAAATGGTTTGCGATATATAAATAGAATTGTCCATGTACTTAACTGATTAAACAGAATTCCATGAAGACTTATGGGGGAGCAGAGGTATAAAGCTATGTATTCTTAACCTCAGTACAGGATGGAGATGAATGGTCAGTTTCGTGCTTTACTCCAAGGGAAAGAGCCCCTGTGTCTATCGGATAAGAGGCTGGGTAGGCCACAGAGCCAGTCATATGCTGTACAGAAAACAAGTCTCTTGCTGCTACCAAAAATCAAACCCTGCTTTCTTGGCTGTCCAGCCCGTATCCCATTGATATACCAACTGAGTTATCCTGTCACCAGATCAGATTGCTGTGTAACGATGATGGAGCTGACTCAGTTTGTGTTTAGTGACAGACTTTTGGGATGGTGGTGGTGGTGGTGGTGGTGGTGGTAGTAGTAGTGGTGAACCATTGAGTCATACTAACAGAGAGTTAGTTAAGAAATTTTGAAAATTTTGATTATGCTTTCAGGAATCTTGGCTCGTTACCCCCATAGTGACTATTCAAATTTCCCCCTGCCTCCTACAGTGCCAATGTTTTGTTTACCGATGGGCTCGACAATTGAGTGCTGGCCTGCTACTGCCATGCAGCCAAGACCTGTCTTCTCAACATTTGTACTCACCGTATCAGATGCTGCAGAAAAGGTTTGTTCTTATTAAAATACAGTTAACATACAGCACTGCTTTCTTAGTGAAAATGCATTTGCACACATATAACAGTAGTTCACACAGTTTGTGGAATGAATATCCATGAAATCTGATATTGGGGGTTTTACTAAAGTTCATCAACAGTCAAATTTTGGTTAAAGTCAGCTGAAAATACTGGACACTGTACTTAAAAATGTGTATGCATTTCTGTGCTTATCATGAGGCTAAGTTCTTAAATGTTTTGAAGTAAAGGTGTAGGGAAAATGAAGCACATATTATCTGAACTATGCTTTTTGAATAAGTCTTACAGCTCCTGGATAATCAAACAAGTGTTGTTATGCTATGCATGCATTTCCTAACTTATATATTCAAGAATCAATAATGGTTTTCGGAACACATGCAGAGATTTCCAGAATCCCTTATTCTGTAATATAATTAAACAGCTTCCTCCTGTGCACAGTCACTATACGCCCGACCTGCTCTGGCTCTTCACATGTATATGTACTTATATTTAATTAAAATGTGTTTTTACTTAAGTACTTTTTGAGCCTCCCTGAACAAGTGCTTGAAATATATGAGCATGTGTAAATAAATACTGAATCCTGGGTATTAGCTCATAATTTCTAATCATCTGCTAGACAAGCCTGTTAATGTATACCATATAATTTTGGAGTGTGGTTCTTCTATTCTTTAGGTATATGGCTCAGCAGTGACGTTTTATGAGCGAATTCCAACTGGCAGCCTTACAGCAGAACAGTGCCATGAACTTCAGATAAACCAGTCAGCTGACGATGAGAAGAAGACAGTGAACATCAACAAGTGCATTTGCCTGCTCTCTCATTGGCCATTTTTTGACACATTTGAGAAATTTCTCATGTTTCTGTATGAGATGGCATGCTCTGGATCCCACAGTGTGCCCATTGAAAGGTGAAATCTTGTACATTTTATAATATAACCTACCCCCCAGCATAACTGGAGTGGGGCATGCTGGGAAAGAGTCCATATCATCATGAAATTCTGTAACACAAGTTCAGTATGATCTGAATTTTCTAAAATAATTATTTTTGGAAGAGTAGAGTTTTCACAAAATTTGTTGTAGTTTTGCATTTTGTGTTTAAAGAAATTGTAATATTTATTTTAAATTTCCATAAGGACAAATATATGGTCCAAATTGTGAACTGTATGGTGATGTTTTATAATTTACATGTGGGAGAAATTTTGTGACCAGAATGTTCCTAACATGGGGTGCATTGTAATTCATACTTTGTGGGGCCAATTGCCAACGGTAAATCGCATTTAAATACAAGTTCTGTATTGACACTGTCTGTGTCCTTACCTGTTGTATACTGTGTTTTGACTTTGTCAAATTTTAGCTCTGTTGTATTAGCATAATTCGTGTTTTCAGACATATCTCACATTTCCTCGAGAATGTGCCATTTCCGTCCCCACAGCGGCCCCGCATCTTGGTCCAGCTGTCAGCTACAGAGCGAGTTGTGCTGACCCAACCAGAAGACCTTCCGCTGCCAAGAAGGTAAGTGAACATGTCATATCTACCTACCATTCTGTAAATAGTAACTTGAAAGAAACATATAACATTGTAATACTGGCTATGGCTGTTACAGATTCCAGTTTTGCATAACTTTACAGCTGTTGAAGTTCTGAAGAGCAATTATGACATGTGTTTCAGTGGTGCAAGTTTCCGAGACTTGCTGATGAGTCTGGGTGCTGATAACTGTCTAATGATTATGCTGTTGGCTCTGACTGAACAGAAGCTGCTTGTCCATTCGTTGCGTCCAGATGTGCTGACAGCAGTAGCTGAGGCTGTGTCTATGGTATGTTGTTTGTTTTTACAAGCTCTGTCAAATGTCTCATGGTTCTTCTTCTGGCTCTGGCTGAACAGAAGTTGTGTATCCATTTGCTGCACTCAGATATGCCGACAGCAGTGGTTGAGTCTATGTGTATGATATTTTCCCTGCCTCAGATATCTCATCAGATTATTATTTTGTAGCCTATACAGTGTGGAAGTAAATATCTATTGACGTCTCTACCTGGGTGGGTTTCCTTGCTGTAAATTCTCCTACAGTCTTGTATGACCTTCCTGGAACTCATATGAGCATGAGAGTTGAGCTTTGAGTTTAAAGATTACAGTCATCCAGAGCATCATATCATGTTGTCTGGTAGGCCGTTGCGTTTCCAAAGACTGTGCTGTCTTATGTCTTCAGTGCAGAAGCCTATCCTTATTCTTGTACCCTGAAGTTGGAAGCAGTTCATTTGTCTGAAAGATTGGTAAACTGTTAAATTACATGGTGTCACATCCTAGAAAGCAGTAATCTTCATGGTCACTGTGAGAACCTCTTATCTAGCAACATTTTGATGGTAATAAGGTGGCTTCCTGCTACTGTGAATCTTACACTGAATATTAGTGTTTTGTATGATACGCTAGATTTGAAAAGGAGCCAGGATAGCGTAGTTGGTATACTGACTAGCTACAGGCTGAACAGCTGAGAGGTCGGAGTTTGAGTCCCAGTAGGGTCAAGAATCTTCTCTTCTCCACAGCATCCAGACCAGCTCTGTGGCCCAACCAACCATCTAACCCGTGGGTACCAGGGCCTCTTTCTCTGGGGTGTGAAGTTGACCACTCACCTTCAGTCAGTGCTGAGGTCAAGAAAATGTGGAGCATACATCCACTCCCCCATACACATTCATATCATAGTGCTTAATAGTTAAGCACAGGGACAACGTTTGCTAGATTTGAAAGCTTGTAGTTTTTTGAGTGGTATCAGTACCTAATGGCTCTAGAAGGATGACTTGTTGGGTGTTATAAAGTTAAAAAAAATGTAAAGTTGACCACACCATTAAGACGTGGGGGAGTGGAGGTATACCCCCACCATTCTTGACCTTGGTACTATATGAAGTTGAGTGGTTCGCTTCATTCTGCTTTACACCCCTAGGGAAAGAGCCCCCCAGTACCCTTTCAGTAGGAGGCTGGGTGGGCTCCAGAGCTGGCATTTGCACTGTTGAGTAAAGAAAAGTCTCTTACAAGTGCCAGGAATCAAACCCCAGATGTCCTGCCCAGAGCTAGTTGCTATCCCAACTCCTCTTCCTGAGTATTATGGGGGGGGGTATTTTAAATTGAAGCAGAACAGTATTTATAAAATACCAAAGTTTCTACACTTGTCTGTGTGTTATGGCAGCTAGGAAAGTCATTATGTCTTTACAAAGGATAGTGTTTTAGACACTACTGGGCATCCTGTTAGAATAGCACTGAAAGAGAACAAAATCACTTTAATAAACTACCATATTTCATCAATATTTTTTCTGGTCCCAGCCAAAGCCCAGTATCAACAAACTTTTTTTTTTTTTTTTTT